AAAAGATTGTGGAAGGATCATTCCAGAAAGTGAAATGCGGCCTGGAGAGAAAAATGGAAGATTGTGTACTCCATGCTCAAATGAATCTATGGATCTGACTGCAGATGAGTAGATTATGCAATGACCCAAAGATCAATCTATATATAATCGCCATGGCTCTATAGATATAATCTTATACATAATATATATATGTGTGTCTATAGTGGATGATCCATGCAGGCAATAAATATATAGAGCTCAATTGAGGGCGGGAGGGCATGATTGCATGATCGATGCATGAACCCAATATAATAATAAGGCAAGCATGCATGCATGCATGCATGCAATCATGCGAGTGCATGCATGTCGATCGTGCAAGCAGGGCAACATGCATTGGGGTTTGAATGCATGAGTGTGATGGTGACGTTAAGCTTGTGTTCAGTTTGGGGTTATGGATGTGTTGGAATTTCTGTTTTGGGATTGTTAAAATATGTAAAACATTAACACTATTGTTAAAATGGTGTTTATCTATTGCCAAATTAAGGATTTTTAACACTTGTGTCAACGTGGTGGTAAAAGATGTGTCCTTATTTCCAATTTTAACTCTCTGTTAAAATGACCATCAAATATGTGGAATTGGATAATTATTGTGTTAAGATTTCTATTTTCACACAAACTTGACCAATATTCGAGCCTTAGTGTCGTTCTGTGCCATTGTGATCGACAGAGGAGGACAACACAGGCTACCGTACCGTACTGTACTGTACTAGTAGGGTGAGCCGAGATTGAAGGATCTATCGAATCGTGGATATCGGTTGGAATCTACTAGTACGGTAACTTTAAATCTAGCCTCTTTTAAACAATCATAACTAGCTAGCTACTAGCTCTATTAATAGTGGCAACAACTTGCGCCTAAATGGTAAAAATAAGATACCGCACCGGCTCTGAGGATTTTCAACTTGGACTGCTAGCTAATAGTAGTCTACTGGTAGCTAGCTAGCGGAGGCGAGGGTGCCAGCACAAACAACATGAACCTATTGTACAAATTAAGAGCAAGACACCTTGACCATGCCACAGCCCCCACTCAAGCCTCTAACCCTCCACCGCAAGGAAAGCTATTATTGCGACTTCAGTAGCGTTGACTTACTTTTGGGTCAGGCTGCAGGCAAAAGGGCAGGCAAAAGGGCAGGCAAAAGGAGAGTATTTGTACGGCCATATGTACACCTTTTAACAAGGATCAATGTGAGTGGATACAAGATAACCTTACCTGATTATCTGCATGAAGCTCTGTCGCGAGAACATAGTAATCCAGTTCACATGAGAGACGAATTGGGTCATGAAATGACACTATTCTTGGAATGCCTTGGTGACTGGATGGGTTTTGGGTTTCCTCGTGATTACCAGACAATCATCACCCCCAAGACCGTGGCTCATGCACTGGACTTTTGGGTCAGGTTTCCAGGCGAAATGTTCAAAGAGAGACATTTTTTTGTTGATAACCAAATCGAGGATGAAGAGGAGGGTTCTGACATGCAGGATTCTGATGGGGAAGAATCTTCTACCGAAGAAGAAGGGGATCCGAAGATACTGATTGCAAAGAAGGAAGTCGACAATTCCAACAACCAACAAGATGGAGAGGACAGTGAGTCAGAGTCGAGCTGGATGGAATCTGAGGATGAAGGCTCTATCCAAGACCAAGACGATGACGTTCTTGTTTTCGATTCCAGTGACGACGAAGGGGGTGAAAATGATGAGGAAAAGGAACGAAGAATTCGAAAGCTTCGTGACTTTTATCGTTGCGTCATGGTGTTCTGTGATCGTGAAATGGCAGCGAATCTCACAGATCAGGATAAAGAAAAAATTGACACTACTTTGGAACCAGGTCATGGCGATATCGCAAACATCTTGGGAGCTCACCCCAACAAAACAGGCTGTACCTTGTTCGACGAGATATACCTCATCCCGCCTCCAGAGTTCTGCTTGGATGTCTATGAAGTGATACGCTTTCTCCCAATTGGTCTCAGGGGTGTCGGTGGTAGATGCTACCATGAACCCCACCCTTCGTTGGAAGCAATGTGTTTGTTGACCAAGGTAGTGAGTGCGGTCCTGTTCAAAATCTATTTTACAACCTTTTCACTCAAGGCCAAGACTGTGGACCAAGGAGGCGAGATTCGTCGTTTGACTGAGGAGCTGAATGCAGTGAAGGAAGAGAGAGACTCGCTGAAGCAAGAGTTGATGTCGGTGGAACCCCGAAAGAAGCGAAAAATCGACGAGCACGGAGACGGCAACGAACAAAAGAAGCGCAAGGTTGAGTCTGTGGAGGCGATTGATTCAGCAACTCGCCAATATCCGGCCGGGAAGTTGAGTCAGGAAGATAGCGACAACGCTTGTTCATTCTCATAGGGAAAAAACGATGCTTCCACCAGAAAACGCGACGCATTCAAGGGGTCAAGGCGTAAAAATTAGCTTAGCGATACCCAATGATCGCGCCTGGAGATTACTCGCCGAGTCCAATAGGGTACAATGATGGGGCTTCCGTATGAAGGTATTGGATTATTGAGGCCACGGCACGATTGGGCAAAGAATAAATGCAATGGCGCTGAAAAGTTGCGCGAGACCAGCTGAGGCCTACGTGAACTGGCGATACCGAATCGATTCCACTTACTTCTTCTATTGCTAAGAACGGCACTTAGACGATGCATTGAAGCGAACCAGGGGAAAGAAAAATTGGAACAACGTCCAAAAACCCGAATTATGTCTGGGCAGAGGAGAGAGCCGACGAAAACGATGGATTCATCTGACGAATTGGCCCAGCCACCAACTATTGATCCCGGCAACAGCGTGACTCGAGCGTAACAATCGGCCAATTTCCTGGTATTCGCACCCTCGGATGCTTCTCTTGCCGCCGTTGTTCCATCGAACGTCCACGAAACAACAGGACAGGCTACACCAGATCGCAACATATCCCACAAGCCCAGGACGACAGCGGAGTCGACAAGAGGAGGACACATAAGCTCTTTCTTTAACACGACACCGAAACATCACTATTTTTCAAGAACACATGCCCTTTCGAATGCTACCAGCACTGCCAACACCCACTTCAGCCTTTGCTTCATCGGATTGGCTCAACAGGAGTTTTCAAGGTGTGATTTGAGGTTGTGGCATTGCCCGCTCCCAAACAGGGACAATCACAACCACAAAGAAGATCGGAACAGTCGAAGTGCAAGGAGTTGTCGGAGCATTGCTTGTCTGGGAAGGCACCCGCCAACTTTTCGTTCCCCGACACATTCAACGTCAACGGAAGATGTCCCCTCGAAAGCCCAATTTGATATGGATCCCATTCGGATCCGTTTAACTGGTACAATCCTTCTGGAATCTCTCCAGATAGGTCGCAGTCTTGCAACTGCAGAACATACAGCGAAGTCATTAAGCTCATCTCGGACGGGATCGCGCCGTGCAACGGGTTGTTGTTCAACTGCAACCACCACAACCTTGTTAGCAGCCCCAGTTCGCTGGGAGAGGCACGAAATGCGGTGCGTTAGGCCATCCAGTCATTCATGCTCGGAATGCCGCAACGTATCCTTCACTTACCTGGGAATCTCGCCGCTCAATTGATTGTCGTTCAAGTTTAGTTTGTGGAGAAGATTTTGGAGTTGTGACAACTCTGATGGTATGGTCCCTGTGATCTCGTTGTTTCGAATTTCGAAATGATCAAGGTGCTCCAGAAGCCCCAACTCAGTGGGCATGGTTCCAGTAACTTTGAGAGCACCGTGAGAGATATGTTGGAGGAATGGATGAGGCACATGTGACGACGATGACGCTGTCCAAACATTAGCCTTTCTTCTTGGCAGTACATACTCAGGTTCTCCCGAAAGCCCAGTTTTGTCAACGAGGTGAGCAGGCCCAATTCAGTAGGAATCGTTCCTGAAATTTGGTTGCCATCAGTGAATAACCTGTATAACCAGAGCAAAATGAGCACATTTTCGCTTCTGTGGATCCCTTTCATACTGATCATCGGAGAGATCTGAGATGTGACCATTTACCATTTTAAGTTCGAGAGTTCCAAGAGCTCCCATGACGGCAGTGTTCCTGTGAAAGAATTGAACCAGAGGCAAAGCTTTGATATTGTCACGAGCAGCATTATTGAGTATCAATCCCTGAGGAAAGTCTGCGGAAGGCTACCGGTACTCCTCACCTGCTCGAGCGCCACAAGCTGCCCTAACTCCAAAGGAATGCCACCGGTCAACGAGTTGTACTGGAAGACGCAGAGAAACGAATACATGAGCGACACCCTGCCAACATTTTCGCCGTGGTGAGCGTGACACACAATCCCCCGAGAGTAGTACCTGCAAGTAGAGCCAAATCAAATCGCTCAACCTCCCGAGCTCGCTCGGAATGGTGCCAGTAAACATCATGTTGTCCACCATGAGAAACTGCAACTTGGTGAGCAATCCGAGAGTCGATGGCACTGTCCCGGAGAACTGATTATACATGAGGGATACTACAACAGGGACATTGGAAGATGCAACGCAACTGAGACGACGCGAAGATGATAATTTACCGAACCGCCGGACAAAATACAATGACGCAGCTACGTACTCTCCTCGAGTTTTGTGAGCAGTCCGATCTCTGTTGGTAGAGTGCCAGTGAGAGCTATTGAAAGAAGGAAGTGAGAGATCGAAAAAAGGAAGGTCAGGATACAATATGCCCGAACAACTCACCCAAAGAGGAAGTTTCCCATGCTTCCATGTTTGTAAGCATGCCAACCAATGTGGAGATTGTACCGGACAGCGTATTTCCGGTGAGGCTCAATGTCTTGAGAGAGGTCAGAAGGTAGAGTTCCATGGGGATACTCCCGGCAAGAGCATTGTGCATTAGCCTGTGAGGCAACGCGAAGGTTCAGCAAAGTAGAAGTGGTAAACACAACATGAAACAGATTCTTCATCTTACCAAACGTGCTCGTAGGTTCCAGCGGAATCGTCTTCGGGATCAAAACGTTTGCAGGGATAGTCGTCACTTAGGATGATCCGTGTGTCGTTGTAGGCATAGGCGTTGCCATAGGACTCCTTGGGCTTGCCATAATAAGTGTGAGCGGAATGCCATCGGCATTCGTGCACGGTGTAGCTGAGCCAATTGTCGTTGCGTACCCAGCTGCTTCCACCGGTGGCGTAGTAGAGCGTGGCCAAGGCGAAACGCTGAAACAGCCGGTACGAGCCGGCGATTCTTTCCAGGTTGGGGTCCTCCAGGAGCCATTCAAAAGCCAGTGCTTGCGAAGAATTGGGGCTTTGCAGGATGGCGTCGACACTGTAGCCGGGAAGCAAGCTCTGGATGTAACCGCGCTGTGTGAGAACAGTGGGTGCGGGTGTTGGACTTGGACTGGGCGCATGTGTTGAGGTTGAGGTTGAGGCTCCCTCTGTTCCGTCGCGAGAGACGACCAGAACGACGACTCCAACCACAATGGCAATCAGTAACAAGCCTCCACCGAGCAATCGTGCAGCCATTTGTTTGGTTTTGCGCCGCCTGGCCCTTGCAGCTTTTTCGTCATTGAACTCCACTGCACGCATCATATCAGATGGAGCCTCCGGATCTTCCGCTACGGGATTTGCCACCGCGAGCTGCTCGCTTGTAGTAAAGTTGGCGGAACCAGTAATATCCCACGGAGGATTCTCTGCCACACCTCCGCCGGCTTGCTGACGAGATCCACCGATGCCTTCGACGGCAAACGCCCCCGGATTGGGTTGTCCGGCCACGCCGTTCGCGTTCTCGTTCTCGTTCGCCCCGACAATAGCATAATCGAGAGTAGTGTTCCGCTGTAGATTTGCTCCCGATTGCCCGTAGGCCCCAGGACGGGTAGGCTGTTGTTGCCCAGGGTTTCGAGTGAACAAGGGCAGTGGAGGTACTTCTGCGACGGCAGCCTGATAGGCATCCACTCCTGGAGGATTATTCACTGCAGGGTCATTCGGATCAACCGACTTTTCGCCTTTCGTTTTCTCTATACCGGTTTGGCTGACAGTCTTGTCCTTGATATCCTTGTTCCCATCCATGACTTTGCCATGGACTTCCCGAGCCTTTCCACCAGCTGAATTTGCATCGTCCTTCAGCAGGATCTGCTCCTCCTCCGATTCGATAGATGATGGTTGGGCAGTGGCGAAATTCACTTGGACCTGGTTGTTATGGACTTCCCCTGAAGCTGCATATTCCATCTTCTCCATTCCAGCTTTCGTGACAGATACCTCCTGGTTCTGGAGGTCTTGCTGTGCCGCCTCGTTGTTGAAGGCCACGGGCAGTAAATCGGACGACTCTGTCTCCTCTTCCTCAAGAACGTCCTGCAACGTTGGATACATGGATTCTACAAAAAGATCGGCATCTCGTACAGCATCGGTCACAGAAGAAACACATGTCTCATTATCTCCGCCACACGAGCTGTGGCGAACCACTTCCGTTGGCACATTCGTTCGAGCTTCAGGACTTCCCGCTTGATGTTCATTTTCCAGTGCCCTGATCAACAATTCGTTAGGATCAACTTCATGCGGCTTGTCCTTTCCCTGCTCTGCTTCTACGCCCATCTCATTTGCTTTTACTTATACGAAAGGTTGGGTTTCTGCGTTATTTGTTATTTCTGCCATGTATCGCGCTTTGCTGAAGCTGTTCTATTACATGTCCCGTAACACGACGGTGGGCATTCCTTGCCTTCTTCCTTCCAATCTCTCAGCCAGCTAAAAAGGGAGCAAAAGTACCGGTGAAACAGGTGGCTGGACCTGAGTCGAGTCCACCGCGATACCGGTACAGTACCAAACGCACTGCATGCATATGGGTACTAGTACCTGTACCAATGAAAATCGTGAACTTAAATCTGCATGTGAATGACGTGGGAAAATTAAAAATGCTTCAACAAAGCCAAGATTGATTCGATTCAATCGTGGATCGTGGATCCAATACAAAACACGTGTACTAGTATTAGCCAGCAGAGGCTGGTTTACACGCCATACAGGTGTTGAGATGTGCCAACCGGTCGGTACCGGTAGCTGCTACAAGAACGGTACCGGTACTGGTACTAGTACTTTGTTTGGAGTTGATACCAGTAGGTATACCGATAAACCGGTTCCCATAGAATATCGTGCATGTAAAGGGATTCCAACCTTGGAAATTTCTGGATGGCATTGGCAAATGATTGGAAAAAAGGCTCCGCGGCATCGAACCCCCACACATCTGCCATGGTCAGTGATTTCAATCCTTTCAAAAAATCAGGGACCAGAGTTAGTGCACTGGAGAGGCCTTGTAAGGAATGTGATGCCAGAGTAAAATTCTCAAGCTTTCGAGGAAGATGCTGGATTAGAATTCTACGAGGTACATCTCCCAAACCTCCTTGGATGGTTGCGCTTGTGATGTTGGGGAAGCTAGTTTGGATGATGGTGCCAATTTGAAGAGCGTCAGTTTCGTTCAGGTCTGAAGCTGAAAGGACAGATATCATTAGAGAAGGAAAGCGGTGTCCAATGGCGGGTAGAACAATTAATTGCCAGGTCAGCAAAGGACAAGTAGGGAATGTATCCACCGTATTGGCGAAGGTGAAGGCCATTATTGATAGTAATACAATCAGCATCCCGGGGGAGCTTGTCGAGCAGAATATCGTCTCCGCCTTCTACTTGATCCAGAATGTCAGGTGGAACGCCAAAAGCGAGCAATCGATCATGCATGTTCATCTTTATTCTGCTTCGTACTGTAAATGCGAGAGATCAAAGATAAGATAGGATGAGACCTTTGACGAAATTTTCTTCAAAGGGTAGATTTGCGACTATTAATAGTAGCTACGGTAGCCACCGGTAGCTACTAGCTACCAGTGCTGGTCGCAAAGCTCAATGTGTAGCTAGACTAGCAAGCTCCGGAGTCTGTACGTCTCTAAAATATTATTTTATGTTGAAACGGACGCTTGCAAACGCACCCCCAAACCTCACCATCCACACTCCAACGCTCTCCAATAATCCTCTACTGCTGCCTCATCGCCTCACCATTATTCGCTTCCATACCTTCCAGTCAGTCGCTCAGTCACCATGGCCAGTCCTGACGACGAAGACAGTCGGGACGAGAAGAAACGGCGTCGAAAGGACGATCGAAGCAAGAAACGAGAGGAGGATGACGACGAAGATCGCAAGAGCAGTCGTCGAAAGGATCGGAAACGAGACGATCGCAAGGAGAAAAAGCGAGGACGAAAGGATGATTCGGAGAGCAGCAGTGACGAAGAGGAAGATCGGAAACGCCATCGCAAGTCCAAGAGCTCCAAGAAAAAGCGCAGCCGCCGCGAGGACAAGAAGCGTCACAAGAAAAAGCACAAACGCAAAGTTTCCTCCTCCTCGTCTTCGGAGGATTCCGACTCTTCGTCTTCCGACGACAATAATAATGAACACCGAACGACCAAAAAAGTCGTCAACAAAAAGCTCCTAGAAAAGCTAGCGGCCAAAGGCGAGACGCTGGAGGAATGGCGGGAGCGAAAGTCTCAGAAACGAGCGAATCGAATTGCGTCCAAGTTTGGATACACTGCCGAAGAGAACCCATTCAATGACCCCAATCTACACGAAGCATTTACCTGGAAGAAAAAGGAGGAAAAGGCTGCCTTGAACAAGGATGGAACATCCGCCTCGAAACCGGACAATGTGTTTGACGAAATTGATAAGGTCCGCAAACGGCGTGCAGACCGGGAACTCCAGTTTGAAGAGATGGAACGCATCCGAGCCGAAGAGGCGAGAATGAAAGAACTGGAAAATTACGATGAATGGGCACGGAAAGAGGAAGAGTTTCATTTGGTACAGCAGCGTCAACGATCGGCCATTCGGCTGGTGGAAGGGAGAGAGAAACCCATTGATGTTCTGGCAAAGAACCTCCTATTGTTTGGACTATCGGAAGAGGACCGAAACAGTCGTGGTTCTGTCAAGTATCAAGAACGATACAATGCATTGAATGCCTTGGAGTCGCTAGAGGCAGAACTAGAGGAGCCTCACAATCTTCTCAAGCATCTCAAACGCAATGAGTTGGAAGAATTGTTGGTGGACATTAAAGCATTCATGACTTTGGAAAGGGAGGCTTCTTCGGGACAAGCCATGCTACAAGATGACTCGATCAATCTAGTGTTGAAGTATTGGGAGGCTTTGCGGATCGTCGCAGAAGACGAAATCAAATATCTCAACACGGGAGGCAAGGATGGATCGCATGCTTCCATGGTCCAAGATGTCCAAAAGATTTTCAAGGGACAATCTCCAGATGCGTTGGTCAAAATGAAGGGAGAAGTGGAACAAAAGCTCCGCTCCAGTGCTGTATCGGGGGATGCATATGGCGCAGATGACTCTCGGGATCGCGACTACTGGAAAACGGTGTTGGAGCAACTGCAAGTTTACCTGGCCAAGACGGAATTGTCGGAGCAACATTCCAAAATGCTGGTCTGTCAGCTCGAGAAACTGGAGCAGAAGAAGAGCGAGCTCAGCCAGCAGTCGTCAGAAGCCAAAAAGGAAGATGCAACAGAAGAGCAGCAAAAGAATGAAAGTGCAGGGTCAATGATGCCAAAGAATGTGGCAACAGATTTTGGCAACTTGGAAGAAGAGCTTGGTCTCACGGATGAGATCGATATGCATGCCCAAAGCTATTCTTGGCAAGACAAATACCGACCCAGAAAGCCTCGGTACTTCAACCGTGTCAAGACTGGTTATGATTGGAACAAGTACAATCAAACTCACTACGACCACGACAACCCGCCGCCAAAGATTGTCCAGGGCTACAAGTTCAACATTTTTTATCCCGATCTTATTGATCCGACCAAAACACCCCAGTACTCGCTGGAGCCCGCCGATTCGGATGAGTTCTGCATCCTCCGCTTCTCCGCTGGGCCTCCTTATGAAGACGTTGCCTTTAAGATCATCAATCGTGAGGTACGTAACTCCCCGTTGCTTCGTTCGTGCGGACATCCTTTTTGAAAGTAATCCAAACAAAACTCACCATTGCGTTTCTCTCGCATGTAATCTTACAGTGGAATCGATCAAGAAAGCGCGGATTCAAAAATACATTCGAGCGCGGTGTCCTGAGCGTGTACTTCAATTTTGCGACGCATTGGTATCGGAGATAAATTGGAGCACGATTTCGACTTCTTTATTGTTGTGCTAAGTGTTAGCTCGTGTGATGGCTTTCCTGCAGCCGGCAGTCTATTAGCCAATCGAGATTTCGAGACCAAGATACTTGCTTCTAGCTAGAAAATCTTAGCACTTCATTGCCGCGTCCGGCGATTGCACCCACGCCTATTGTTTCTACAGGTGGTGTTCACAACAGCAGTGTGTGTACTCACATGAATATTTGAGCATGTTTTTAAAATTTATTGTGCATCAGCGCCTACCCTTTGCCAAGATGAATCTTTCCTAGTCGCACTTGATACGCGAGTAAATGTATTTGACAAAGACCAAACTGGTCTGGAAACCTGCACTTCCAAGCATCAGGAAGAAGGCAAAGGATATGACGGCCATGTATCCAAAGTAGAAAGAGCTCTGCAGGACTCCGCTCATTCCACTGCGGTGGAAATAATAGAAGAATGAATACACGTAGATAAAGAGACCAGTCATACCACCATTGATGTAGGATGCCCACCACCAACGATGATCCTCTCGGGCCAACTGGAAGTAAAGCAGCGCGACTGTGATGAAGGATGTCACCGTAACCAACAAACAGAAGGCGATCAAAAGAATTCCAAAGAGAGTGTAGATCTGATGACCCCACATTGAGGCAAAGATGTAGTGTAATTCAATGTAGATGGCCGAGAATGGAAGGAATCCGGCAATAAGCACTTGGAAAGTCCTGCCTCGGTACCAGGCGACTTCAGATGGAATTTCCCTGGCCACTTTGGTGGTGCGAGTGGGAGCATTAAAGTCGGGACTGGCGTGGTTCTTGGCCAGAATGGCCCCAAACACGGTGAGGGGCAGGGAAATAAAGACGTACAGGGCGGTAACCGTAAGAATTGCGGTAAAGGGCAGGGCACTGGTAGATCCATGGGCAAGTGCCACGGTATTGACCCACATAAACACCACCGCGACTGGTGCGGGGAAAAGGCCCGCAGTCAACAGAGTGCACCTGACCCAGTCCTTTCCATTCATCTGACGATAGAGGCGCATGGATGTGTATCCTCCGACAATGGATGTAAGACAGTAGAGGACTACAACTCCTGCCGTGATGGAACCTCGTCGGGTTGTCGAGATGATGTTGGAAAGCGCCAAACACAAATGGAACAGTGTCAAGATAACCAATTGGTTCCCAGTTCCCACAGCAGCGCAGAAGATTCCAGGGTTCTCCGGGAACCGAAACACATCGCCATGAATTAGTTTCCAGCCCGACTGCAGTTGCAATAATCAAAAGGATCAATGTTTTAGCATTGGTTTCAACAAGTACCATGAATCAAACAAACCCACGAATCTGCAATCGTACCTCTTCCTCTTCCAGGGCATCGTCGTCTAGTTCCATGTATCTTGAAAAGTCATTTTTGAGGACACGCAGCAGGATAATGGTCAAGAAAGCAGTCAAAAGCAGGACGAGAACAAAAGAGTTGATGATGGACAACCAGTGGATTTCAAAGGACCCAGGCAAAAAGCGTGAATCAGCATAACGGGTCATGCGATCCTTCCATTGCAAAGTCTCTTCGACCCATTCCACCGAGTATGAGAACTGAACCGTTTTGGGCACATTGACATCGGTAATGTCCACCCTGCGTTCCATCTAGCATCATAATAATATCCCAGAACGAAATAGACACAAATGCGGTTTGTGAGGGACTCATAGTTTTTGAATGAATGATTGCTTTTCAATTTCACTTGACTTGACGTACATCCGTGGTTACTTTGGCGGAAACAATTCTGTTGTTGTTGTGTCCAATGTAAAAGTGCAGATGGGGGAATAGAAAGGTCCTACTGGAGGAGCTCTCGCCCAGAATGAGATCCTCGTCTACGGCGTCGCCAATGTATCCCCACATTGGCAGATCCTCGACAAACATTTCAAAAAAATAATTGTTGTGAATGGCGTCCTTGAACAGCGTCAAGTCGTCCGTATCCAGATCCTCTTTACAGAGAAGACGCCAGTCGACACTGTCACCAAAGCTAATTTCGTAGGGAGATGATTCGCGTCGATCTCCTACAATGGATTCTCCCAGACGCTGGCGATGACGAACAGCTCCTTCACGCTTTTCTTGGTCTCGTCGATGGTTCAGAGAGACAGCCTCTTCTCTGGCGGCGTTCTCTTCTTCCGCGGTGGACGAGTGCTTCTGGCAAAAGGGAAGAGAATAGTAACGGTAGGTCTCCATGGGGTTATTGAAGGGACTGTATTAGACAAAAATATCCAAATCCAAAATAAATAAAACAGAACCCGTGAGATTTTTCAGCACCGTATTCCACAGAGAGCCAACCCACTTACCCGACCTTGTTCACAACAAGGTGGACATCATCGTGGTCTTTGTAGACTTTTCCAGCTTTTACTCGCTTGATCTTGGTCGCGCCCAACACCTGCGATTGCAGCAAAAACAAACAGAGGATTCCGAGGCTCCTCATCGTTCCAACTAACTAAAGATAGCTATTCCGATCAATCAAAAAACGCAAACTGCTATGAACAAAAGAAGAAAGGGAGAGAGACAGTAGCAAGAAAAGACACCGTCGCTTGGTTATTGGTATCGTGCAATGGCGATCATGCAATCGATCAGTGGCTTGTCTTGGCAGCAGCAATGACTTTGGATCCAAGCGGTTAGAATTGCAAGCAAGCCTGAGTGCCGAACGACATGGTTTTTAGCAATCCGTTAGCGAAGCTGGGAGGCCCACACTTGCTCCGTTTGTTAGGTTTAAGTTAGCAAGGCCGTATAATGGTGGAGTTGGGCCTTGCCTCCGAACCCAAGCTTCCATCTGGGCGACAACAACATTACTTCTGGTCACTGTTGTACCGGTACCGGTGTGGTACTACAGTATCTTTCTCACACAAATCCAAGCAACCCCACAAAGTTCCGAGAGATGCAGCGTCCTTGCAAAATTTTGTTTCACATTTCAAACTTCAGTGCCGTGGCTTTTGTTTCCACTAGCACATGTAGCTAGCTAGCACGTTGCGAAGCCCGTTCACTCATGATGAAGACGCCGGATGAGATTGAGTCGAGTCGAGTTACTAGATCTGCCATAATATCTGCAAGCCCTGCGTTACTGATGCAGTAGTTCCAAACCGGCTGACATGTATTAATAGGACATTTTGAAGAGTAGTATGATATACCAGGTACCCCAACCGACAAAGTGGTGCGGGGTCCCTAACAATACTGGAATTTTGAGAAGATGGGATGGCTCATACTCTTGGTGTATCCCCATGTCTCAAATGACTCAGCCAGGGTCCTTGTTGGCAACATGTGGCGGGCTCAACGTCCCCTGGCACTCAGTAGCTTGCATGCTGATGCTACCGTACCTGGTACAGTCGTACCAGGTATGGGATACCGGGAGGTATGGTACCGTAGCGTCGGTACTATGAAAGTAATCGAGGAGTACTAAAATGTTGCTAGCTAGTAGTACATGTACGGTACCATTGTACGGTACGCGATCGCACTGGATGGAGACGTGTTACATGTATCGTTTGCACCTCCCCAATGTGGTAAAAATACAAGTCGCAAATCAAAAAGCTCTGCCACATGTTGGAAAGTACATGTCGTAGCTATGTCGTATAGTTACACAGGGGGGTGGCACAAATCAACTTACTATTTCCTGCAGCACCTTCAACCAATTTTGTAAATAGTTAGCCATTTTCAGCCAATGTTTACCATCATTTACCGCGCTCCACCGCCTTCGACCACCTTCAAACGACTTCAACCGGCTGCTTTACCGCCTGTTTTACCATTGTTTATCCAATTTGATCCATTTCTGTCTGTCCCAACCTCCACCACTGTTTACCACGTTCGACCGTTCTCCACCACCTTCTTTTTTCGACGATAATGCGGGAAAACTCGAGGTATGACACGAACAGTTGCCAAAAGGCTTTCGCGAGTGGTGGCTAGGTCTATTTTGCACAAACGACGCAAAATGAAAGCTAGCACGTGTGTACCTTGTACCGGTACGGTAATCCAGTAAAGTGATATTACTACTCAATTTTATTAATAAAAAGTACTCCTAGTATGAAAAAGTTCTACAATTTTCGTGTGTAGGCCATCAGGGAGGAACATCAACGTTTCTTCGAAGAACTTGAATGTGACATTGGGGCAATGGCTCAGGTACGACTGTACATCGTACTCTTTGTGACAGCTATGACTCCAGTACTAGAAGCGAAAATTCTCCGTGGATTTAGGCGTGTAATTTCTCCTCAGACTGGGAGATTCTCCGTCGTTCGGAGTATGGAGTAAATACGATTGCTTCGTTTAATTGCCCTGAAGTCGTATACGACATTGCTGATTCTGCACCGTGATGATCAACTTCACCTTTCCTTTTTTCCAGGGACCAAATGAATTAACTATAAACGTTGATGTTCACTGACGTGGTGTCAAAAAGCGAAGGAAATCTCTCCTGATCAAGGAGGAACAGGAGGCATTTCTCCTTCGCCTGATCCGTAATCCCTAGCTTCCTTTGCGGTGTTGCTGACGTGGTGGGCAACGGAGCAGTATTTTGGACCGTCGACAATGCAAACCCAAGCAGCGGACTGCAGCAAGCAGCAAACGCTCTTTCGACCCTGGCGCCGTGGTAATGCTGGACCGCAAACCGCATCATCTCTCTGAACAGCCACGGTCACAATACCAGTACCCTCTTCGCATCACACACAAGCTATCGGAAGCATGTCTTCTGCCTCCACTTCCTCATCATACCAGGAGATGTCATCAGAGCCAACCATGGCAAGAGGTGCCCCTTCTCTGCCAAGCAAGGAGCTCAGCGATTGTGATCGTGAGCAGCTGCACCTGCTTGCTCATATTCAGGGTTCCGCAGGCAATGTCTTCTTTGTCTCCTTTCCGGATTGGATTATCATCGCTGCGGATGCCACGGTCAAGTCCATACCATGGATCCTGGAACGAGGAATGAGCCGAATGGATCCTCCTTCGCCTCATTCTGTTAGGCCGGCATTGAATCACAAAAGATTACGTGATATTCTAGGCACTCCGTTTTCACGGTGGATACCCTTTGATCTCGCCGCTGACATTCGAACGGCGGCGGAGGAAATGGTTCAGACCAAGTCCAGGAGAGTCTTCCGGTTCTTCTCCTACCGTGGAGACTCGTACTCTATTACTGTGTTTAAGGCTACCGCCAGCAAGAATAATCCCTATTCTCAGCTGGGAATCGAGGTGGAACTGTTGGACAAGACGGAGTCCGCCAATTCCTTTTATGACAGCCTCACCTCGTTGGCCCGAGTCATGGAGCTCTATGCGGATGAAAAGGTACTCAGTATGGCATGTGATGAAGTCTTCAACATATTGGGCAAATTCGACAGAGGCCTCGTCTACAAATTCAACGACGACAGCACCGGAGAGGTTATTTACGAAACCATGAAGGAAGGTTGTCCAGCATCTTCGTACATGGGGATGCGGTTTCCAGCTGCCGATATCCCCCTCCCAGCTCGACAGCTCTACATCAAGAATGGATTGCGGTATATCGAAGATGTTCATGCCCAGAATGTACCCATTTTGCATCTCAACGAAGGCAATGTCGACTTGACGAACTGTCGAATGCGGGCCGTCTCCAAGCCACACATCATGTAAGTCAAGCGAATGTGCAACAAGTTCCGGTTGAAGAGGTTGCTCGTACTGACCATTGGATTCGATGTTCTGGTCTCTTTTGCAGGTACCTACGAAATATGGGAATTCAGGCGTCCATGTCAATAGCCATTCTAGTGGAAGGACGTCTCTGGGGACTACTTGCGTTCCACGGCTACAGCGGACCCTTCAAGCCATCGCTCCATCAACGCATCGCGTGCGAGACGGTAAGTGGGGTCAAGTTTATGTAACACGGCGCAAGCTACCGTAGGAAGCATCATTTCTGACCAACTGGCTGGTGTCCTTGGCAGATCAATTCCATGTTGTCCCTCAAAATGGAAACCTTGATTAAGAAGGCCGCAAGCAAACGGGTTACTCAGCTTTCGGAAAAGCTGGTGCGGTGGGAACAGGCAAGGAGTGTCGCCGCCAACCTTGAGGAATCTGGTAAGACCCGACTATAGCATGATCAGCGTCCATATCTTGCCGTGTTTTGCAAAGCAGCTCATTCGAAGACATTTCGTTGTCGTCTCGCTCTCGCCTACGGAAGGGAAAGAAATCTTACCAATCCTTGATGCCGACGTGATGGTGGTTCGAATTCAAGTCCCCACCAAAGAGGAAATGGATCAAGTTGTCATTGGCGAGAAGAGCCTGGTTCCTGGCGAAAAGTTCTGGCAGTCTTTTGAAAACCAACAGCATCGTACAATGTGTTCGTTCGTATGTCGAGGTGAACAAGAGAAATGGGGTCTCGCCGATGGCGACTGCCCTGCGGGGGTGGTTTACTTTCGAGGCGCACTCGTTCAAGTCATGCTAGGAAGAGGGGTTCGATCCAAAGATGTTGTATGGGGTGGAAGACCCGACGAGCCCAAAACAAGGCTCAACGGCCACCTTTGCCCTCGCAAGTCTTTTGAGAAGTACATGGAGCGAGCTCGACTGGAATCGAGGGCGTGGTCAAAGGCGGATCTTCGCGTGATATCGGCTTTTATGGATCGTGTGGTGGAGAACTCGACCACCAACATGATGACCCACCTGAAGCGAGATATGGAACAGGCAAATTTGAAGTATCTGGGTGCAAACAATAGAATTCGTGACAGCAGTTCCTTGTTTGTAAGTCATGGCAACACTTGTGTGTTCCTCTTGTCACTGCTTTGTTGCTGTCTTGCACTCTACACTACACTCGCCTCACTGACGTATCTGCCTTTCATCCTCGATTGCTGCTTTCTAGGCCCACATGAGCCACGAAATTCGGTACGAACTACGGGCTCTTGCAATCACCGCTTTCGCTATATCTCACATTCTCTCGCCTCGCCTTTCTCCTCTTTGTCAAGAACCCCGTTCCATGGTGTCATGGGTTGTCTCAATATTTTGAAATCATCCGGCACCGACATGCCGAAAGAGGAGGTCAAAGACATGTTGGGCACAGCTCTGCAGTCTGGGAACCACATGATGAAGTTGCTAAATGACATTTTGGCTATTGCTCACAACAAGTACATATCTCGCTCCATTGAGAATGTGAGAACAAGCTACCAAACGCTGGCGACGGAGGCAACGCAAGGCCTGCGATCTCTGGCGTACAGCAAGAGCACACGATTTGATTGCAAGATCTTTCCCCACAACGACAGGTCTATTGTCTTGACAGACCGAACCAAGGTAGTCCAGGTAAGAGCTGGTTTAATGTTGGTGACTGAACTAACGCACGTGAAGGGATTCACACAAGCTTATCTTCTTTGTTGCTTTCGTGTGTTGTAGATTGCATCGAATCTGGTAAGTTGGTTTGATGGTGCTTGCGGAGGTCACAGAAGTGAGGCCGTCCACAGACTAATATTCTAATCTTCGTTGTTCGGTATCTGCAGATCAACAATGCGATCAAATTTGCAGCAGGCGGCTCCGTTGATGTGAAGTTTCAATTGGTGGATACTAGACACAAAGCAATCGAGATCTGGAGTACAGATGCTGCTGCCTACGCAGGGACAGTCTTCACCATTCAAGAGCACAAAATGATGTCTTCCGTACCGGAAGTTACGCAAATATACCTGCACGAGAACGAGCCCGGATCTGCCGAGCACAAGTGGCTATTAGTGTCAGTTGCTGATTCGGGCTGTGGGATGCAATCCCAGGAGCTTTCAGATATGCTTCGCCTCTACACTCAATCAAGCAGTGGGAGCAGCAAAGTCCACGTTGAAGGGACTGGCTTAGGTCTGTTCATCTCAACGTCGTTGTGCCGCCAACTCGGCGGCTTCATTGCTTGTTCGAGTACCCCAAGGAAGGGTACAGTTTTTCACGTAGGTATTCCAGTTGGCATTCCAAGAGAGCAGGTGGCTGAGAGCGAGACTGAAAGTGATGATAGCAGCAAAGATGCAGCAGAAGATTCCAACAATAAGATTGCATTGTCTGGTCCAATTGCAGTTTGTGACGACAATAAAGTGAACGTGAAGATCTTGCACCGTTCACTCAAAACCGAGCTCAAGAAGAGAAAGCTAGATGTGGAGGTTTTCACTGCCTTTGGCGGACGCGAAATCGTGGAACTCTACAAGAAGATGAAGCCAAGCATACTCTTTATCGATTATCACATGCCCGAGGTGGATGGTGTGGAAGCAACCGAGAAGATTCGTTTGTTTGAAATGGAGAATGGACTTGAAAGATCCTTCATCTTGAGTTACACAGCCGATGCTACAGATGATGCTGTGAGAACCATCTTAGCAAGAGGAACGGATGAAATCATGACAAAGCCGCCACCAAAGGGCTTCCTATCAGACTTTGTCGACCGGATACGAATAGCCGAAGCAAAGCCATGATATGATGGACGGCCTCCGCGCCCATCAGTGTATTTCTAGCCATGGACGTATATATTTGTGTCTGCACAGCCAATAACATAGATAGTTTTACCCCGGACTTTCACAACGTTAAGAAGACTCTTATAGTCGTGCCCGGTACACTGTACCGGTAGTCGAATGCAATGTGGAGGCCTTTTCACCTGGTATTGGCAGGCTTCGTAATGAAAACAAGGCATCGTGTTGACGCATGCATACATACGTACAGCAGTAAAAATATTAGCACACGGGAAGCGCTGTGGATCTATATCTACGGGTACCTCGCGTTCATTGATGACACTGGCATTGAGTTTTGTTTGTTTAGTAGTAGTTTGTTGTTGTTGTTGTTCATTCATTGTTGCTTGGCTTGATTCCTCTTTCATCTTTCCTTCAATTCCTTTATTGGCCTCCAATCTGCATTCTTCCGTCCTTATCAAATCCAGGTAGGATTTCGTCACCTTGATCTTCATTGGTCCATGGCGCCCGACCCCCCATGCGCTCTGCCTCAATTTCCATTGTTTCCAGATCAAAGATGGATGTTGTTTGATCCTTCCACATTCGATCCTGCTGTTCCCTCAGAGTCATGCCCTTTCCATAGATTCGGGTTGTGACGACTTCTGCTTCCGATGCCAACTGTTTGATCCTCGAGGCCAAGTCACCACGGTCATCATCTGTTCCTAGATTTCCAAAGTTGAGCAAGACTGCCTTGCAGGCATTGATGAAATCGGGTGGAGGTACATCGGGCATTGGTTTTTCCTGTTCCGGGGCTTCTCCATCGACAGCCTTTTGTGCATTTTCGGCGGTTCCCGGTACGAGTAGAACGTCTTTGGGCGTGAAGGCATCCTCAAAGATCTCTTCTCGTTTTTTGGGATCATCCGTTCGCAGCAATTGACGCAAAAGACGAATTTCCTTGCTGGATGCCTGTTTGTCCTTTTCATCGGCAGCGCGATGACGCAGTTTGTCTATCGATGGATGAAAAATGAATCAAAATCACACAACGGAGGCCAGAAAAAATCATTCAGTCCACACGCACATACATTCAGCAGATCACCAGGATCAGTTTATTAGCATTTTTTGGACTCACCCATCAATTGCGCTGGACCATTGGCCCCGGCATCCTTTGCCTGCTGTGCATTGGCTTCTAGCAAGAGTAGGAATGGTTCGTCAATTTTTCCTTCCCGTGCCATTTTGACAATGGCTCCTTCCATCCGCATGGGTTCTCCCAAGGATAGAACTCCCTTGAGTGCTTCTGCCGCGACCGCAATTCTGGTTTGCTGTTCCTGGGCGAGTGCTTCTAGCAACGCCCTGGCATCGGCATCGCCATTGTTACTGCGTTCTGTGAGTACCTTGACAAACTGTGCATCGAATTGATCGTAAAACGTAAAGACAATGGAATTGACCGTGTCACCGGCCTTGTAGGGCGGCATGACTTGTTTGAGTAGTTTTTCGTAGGAGAGTCGAATTTCGGGTGTAATTTCTTGTTCGTAAAATGTTTTCTTGACCTTTGTTTCGGCATTGACATCGGCGACTCCCGATTGAGCCGCATCAATGGCTGCCGCCTTTTTCAATACATCTTGTTTGGACATGTTGCGTCCCGCTTCGGCGTCGGCTTCGGCTTGTTGCTTGCGTTCTTCTTCGGCTTGTTCGGCATCTGCGGCCGCTCGTTCTTCGGCGAGCTGGTTGACTTGTACCTTGGTAACGACGTCTTCAATCATATCGAACAAATCCCGGAGTGCCAATCGTTCATCGGGGTCTCTGGAATTGTCAATCTTGTTGTTGAGCCACTCCATAAACTTGGGGTCGGTGGCGAGATCATAGTTGTTCATAATGTCGATTCGAGGATCGTTGGTGGAAAAGACGAGATCTCCCAGAAACACTTCGTAGGCATCGTTCATGGGGACATCTGTCTCTTCATTGGAACTCAACAGATTGTACGAGTCGCTTTCAATTTCATCCAAAATTCCAAACAGTCTTGTACTCGTAGTAAATGTGCTAGTAGTAGCAGGTTGGATCTTTGAAGGAGGCGTGGGAATGGAGAAACCCTGGGCTGCAGGAACCGCCAAGAGAAGGGAAAGAGCCAACGATAATTGCATGGTGCCTTGTGGTGTGTGTTGTGTGTTGTGTGTTGTAATTGCTACTACGCTGACTGACTGGAGTACCAGAATAGTTTTGAGACGAGGATAGAATGGATTATGGCAACAAACAGCAAAACTTGGAGAGAAAGCAATGGATGTGGACGGCAGAACGGCAGAACAAAACATCAAAGGAAGCCCACATGCGAGCTGAAAAACGTCATCGTCGGAAGAGTGGTGTTGCGTTTGAGACCCGAGTGATGTCAGTCACAGACAATGGGAACACGTCAGCATTTTCCAGAAGAGTGGATGCAAAACAGATCAGACAGAGGACAATGACAATGGCACAGTCAGGACAGCTGTCAGGACCGCCGTTGCTGTTGGGTTTGACTCAGCTTTGTGGTTACGGTGTTGGGCGACCAAAGCAGAGACAATGGGATCATAGTTCCAACATCGTGAGAAATAGTTCAGTACAGTCCTAGCTAGCTAATACGGAAATCATGAAGACCTTTCGCTGCTTTCTGGTTTTGGGGTGCTTCGTTCCCTGGGTATCATGCTTTGTCCTTCAAAAGTCCCCCATCACTCCAACCGCATCTACCTGGACATCAGTGTCAAGTCCAATGGTTCTTGGAGCCAAGCCAACTCAAGAGTCAGCGACCGAAGAAGCAATGCGTCTGCTGGAAAAGTCCAGAGCACTGAGAGAAGAGATTGCTCAACAAGAACAGGAGAGGGCCTCCCAACGGCCAAGTACACCTGGCAGTGATTCGTCCAAAGACAGTATGCATAGTTCCAACCAGCTACAATCTACAAAGTCTGCCCAAATCAACAAATGGGCCGTCCCCAATAGTAGTGTTGATGATGATGATGATTCATCTTCCCCTGGAGTCGAATATCGACTCTACGTGGATATTGGACGAGAGGAGGGTACTTGGATGGAGCCTCGATGGGGTGCCAGCGGTCGCAGGATCGAATTCACGCTGGATGTGAGATTTCAACCCAATCAACTCGCCAATATGCAAGCCACACAAAAAATGGTCAAAGACAATCAAGGAGGAAAATCGTCTCCCGTCCAGCATCTGGAATCGGCTCCACTGGCACGATTGCGCAGTGGATTTGAGGAAATGAAATGTCAGGGTGGATCCTTTCGAATCGACTACTCCTGTCGACCGGGACAATCCGATACCTTGCGGTTTTTTCTCATGGTGGAGGGGATCACGGATGGGGATGTCTCCATACCACAAGGAGCGCTCTACTTTTCCATCCCCTGCTTTGGATCGGTAGCACAAATGTCCAGCAAGGGAGAAATGCCCGTCACGGTACGACAAATGGGATGGCACACGGGATTTAGACGCGAAGAAAGTCGAATCCTTGGAATCTTCAAGGCTGTCCCCATTGACGGGGCTAGAAGGAAAGATGGATTCTAATCTAGTGACAATACTAATAAATCAGTAAGCCAAGGGCATCAGGGCCAGTCACCGCGACCTATATCTCATCTACCTGTACCTGTTCCTCGTCTTTAGAATAGATCAGCTGCTCGAAAGCTTCAGATGGGGGAGTGGGTACTACTAGTAGTAGGTATTGTCGCGCTTCGGCAGGCCAGCAACTTTCTTGGTATGTCGAGATTGATTTTACCATTCCTCACATTCCAATTTCGAAATCGGATTCATCATTCTTCACAATTTCAATTTTCCTGATTACTCACAATAAACATTTTACCGATTACTCACAATTTCAATTTTGCCGATTTTTGATTCCACACAATTTTAGTTTTCAATTTTTGATTTCTCACAATTCTAATTTTTGATTTCCCATTCCTCACAATTCAAATTTTTGATTCTGATTCCTCACAATTCATATTCTCGATTTTGATTTCTCACAATTCAAATTTTTGATTTCGATTTCTCACAATTCTATTTTTTGCAGATTCCTCACAATTACAGTTTTCAATTTTTTATTTCTCATAATTCAAATTTTCAATTTTAGTTTCTCACAATTTCAATTTTGCCGATTCCTCACAATTCCAATTATCGATTTCCATTTCTCACAATACATTTTTTGCTGGTTTCTCACAATTCAAATTTTTGATTTCGATTTCTCACAATTCATTTGTTCGTTTGTGATTTCTCATAATTTAAATTTTTCTGATTCCTCACATTTCTACATTTTTCTGATTCCTCACATTTCAATTTTCGCTTTTGATTTCTCACAATTCTAATTTTATATTTTGATTTCTCACAATTCCAATTCTTGATTTTGATTTTGATTTCTCACAATTTCAATTTGTTCCGATTTCTCACAATTTCAATTTTCGTGATTCCTCACAATTTCAATTTTTGCAGATTTCTCACAATTTCAATTTGGTGATGACATTGTGTGGGGTCAGAGTGCGAAGCAGCATCGTGTTTTGTGTACGACTGCACCCGTCTGACCGTAACGCTGTACGGCACGGCATCGGTTGGGGACCAGAACACATCCACAACCAGACCGAAAATGAAGGAATACAACGGCAAGAGAGACCATAAATCGGGCTTGGCCCTGCCAAAGCATCCTAAGCGAGCAAAGGTACAAGCAGATGATGACTCTGCTATCCTGAAATCCATTGCAGATGCTTCACAGGCAGTCTCACGTGCCTTGAAGCAACTCCAGTCATGTGAGAGCAGCAACGGCAAAGCAGAAGCAGGACATCAGCTAAAGAACGCCCTGGCCCTACAAGAACAGATGAACACAGTTGTCCAACAGGCATATACCAATGTGAAGCTTGCCCCGGAAGACTCCTGTTTGAAGCATGAGGATATTTGGATCCACAAAATCTTCCAATTTCTTGGCATGGGCCACTATGCTTTTGTGGCACCTGTCAGCCACAAGATGAAAGATTTGTACAGAGCTTTCTGCAAAACCGTGAAGAATCCTCCAGAACTGGTGGAGGATATTGTGGAAGAGGCATGCTCAGCATCTACAACTTACACATTCTTCAGTGCATTGTTTTCCAGCGTCCCTCGGGCTGAGTACTGGTTCACCTACTGTAATACTGGCACTGGTCGTCAAATACGTGGCAGTGCTGTCTGTGCAGAAGCTGCCAAATCAGGTTGTGTTCACGTTCTTCAGTGGGCCCGAGAAAAGGGCTTTGATTGGAATGAAGAGACATGCAAAAATGCTGCACGAAATGGTCACCTAGAAGCACTGAAATTCGCCCATCAAAATGGATGTCCCTGGGATGCAAGAACATGCTTGCGAGCTGCTTACTATGGCCATTTGGAGATCCTGAAATATGCCCATGAAAATGGCTTTCCCTGGGATACAACAACTTGCAGTGGTGCTGCTGAAAATGGCCACATGAAAGTCCTGGAATATGCCCATGAAAATGGATGTCCATGGAATGAGCTGACATGTGAGTTAGCTGCTTTAAAGTCAAATTTGAAAATCCTAAAATATGCCCACAGAAATGGCTGTCCCTGGAGTGAAAGGACGAGCAATTATGCTGCTATGAATGGTCACTTGGGAATGCTGAAATATACCCATGAAAATGGATGTCCATGGAGTGAACTGACGTGCTACTTTGCTACAATCAATGGACATTTTGACATCCTAAAATATGCCCATGAAAATGGCTGTCCTTGGGATGAACGCATGTGCCATGAGGCTGCACGAAGAGGACGTTTGGACTTGCTAAGATATGCTATCGAGAACGGTTGCCCCTGGGATGAAAATGAAGTGCTGAATAGCCCCTACGAGCAAGTCCAGGTATGGACTAAAGATTTCCTCACCTCGAGGAAATCCTTCTGAATTTCCGGTACGTCAAACTGGCAAAGTTAGCTTGCTTTCTGGATTGAGGCTTGCCGTGTCGTATTCTATCTTTTGCCGGAACCACACCCAATTGTCCCAAACTCATTTCCATAGTAAACTTATTAGTGAAACAATTGCATCATCGACAACATAATATTTTCAGCACAAACACCTGCGTTTCCTTTTGCTGAAACAGACAACCGGACTGTCCTGTCCTGTGTTATTAGCTCGAGTTGGAGCGATCCCTTTTGCTCCGTCGCCCTCCACCACCCGAATCTCGACTGCGACTGGGACTACGACTCCGAGAACGGCTGTCTCGACTTCTCCGACGCTTTCGATCCGAGTCATTCTCATTCTCTGAATCTTCCCGGTCACGACGATCTCGCTTACGATGCTTCTTTCGTCTTTTTTTGCTGTAGGATCCCTCGTCGTCCTTGTCATCGCGACGACGACTGCTGCTGGCACTACTTTCGCGTTTTCTACGTCGTTCTTTTCGACGATGTTTGCGGCTTCGACGTTGCTCGTAGCTGTCTTGCGACGACACCGAAGGCGATCTGCTGGACTTGCGTGCAGGTTCTTCGTCTTTTTCGTGCGTCTTGTTGTCGTCTTGCTCTTTTTTCATGTTGTCCGGGGTCGGCGGAGCTTCTTTTTCGTTCCCGTTGTTCCTGGTTGGTTTGTCCAATCCTTTGTCACCAGCGCCATTGCCTCGTTCTCCTGGCCCACCTTCCTCGTCGCTGTTCTTGCGATCCCATCCGCGTGGCCGATTGTTGCTACTATGGTTGTTGTCATTGTTTCTCATTCCATTGCCGTCGCGAGGTGGTGGCGGTGACCGACGATCCCACTCCCGTCGATGATCGGGGCGCTGATGGGACCGTTCTCGATCATTATTATTATTGTCCATTGGAGGCTCCCTCCCCATTCTGGGTGCCATGATGACCCGTCCAAATTCATCTTCCGTGGGAGCCATTTTCTGGTCTTGTTGTTGTTCTCTGCCCCCATCGTCGGAAGGATGCGGTGGACTGACCGGCCTTGGATAATCTCTAGGTGGCGGTCCTCCATGATCCCTCCTACCATCCCGAAAGGGTGGAGGACCTCGATACGGCCCATTATCATGAAAACGAGAAGGACGATTGTCGCGATAATCGTTGTTCCTCCATCGATCGTTGCCGCCGCCTCTTCCTCCCCATCTATTATCTGGTCTATTATCTGATCCCCTTCCACGTGGCCCTCGACCCCGGCCACCTCTGGGTCCATCGAATCGATGATTGTTGGGAGGATATGGATTCCGTGCTTGTTGTTGTTGTTGCTGCTGTTTCTGCTGCTGTAGTTCCTTTTTCTTTTCTTCCATTAGTTTGGGAGGAATCCCATGGGGCGCATTCTGGGCTTCCAACATTAATTCCCACAACTCCTTGGCAAATTGTCCTACATGTTCGTCACCTAAAAACCCTGCCAAATCGATCTGTGCTCTTCGTGGATCGACTTTATCGGATGCCATGGTGTTGGTTTCGCCATCATCTTCGGGCAAGAACAGATTGGCGGCCGTACTGGCCACAATCTCATCTTCAAATCCCAGAATTTTGGTGACTTGCTTTTCAATCCACTCCAACAAGACGCTCCGATTCACCTGGCCGATGTTGACCTTTTTCGAAAAGGAGGATGGAAACTTGGTCGTTCGGAGTGCCTTGCTCATGGCACGTTCATCGGCCACAGAGGCCGTTCCCTTGATGGAAGGCATGATGCTTTCTTATCCTAAAAGACAGCAGATGATGATACCGTATAGCACCGTAATAAGGAGGACGGGGGTGTGTGGTGTTGTACAGCTGTAACGCCACAAGCCAGCTTTTGCGACTTTGGCATGGAGGGAGAGGCGGAAATGTCACTTGGGGCTGTGGGGTGGAAGATGACTGAAGGTTTCTGAAAACACGTCACTACCTGAAGCAGCGCGACAACGAGAAAGATGAAGGTCGCCACAACACCAGGGAGAAGCAGGAAAACGCATTACAAGCATTACACACCTGAGTAGACTGGTTGGTTGTTGACTGTCAATGCTATGGCTAATAGTGAGGCTGCAACTAGTAGAGTAACTACAAACTATTTAATAATCAAAGTCAAACTCATTGTCGACTCTATCATAGTACTCCACCTGCCACATCGGCTTGTCCATAATTTGGAGCTGCACAATGTTGGCCACAGCATGGGCCATCTTACCATGTTTATCAAGGGAATGGCGCCACCTCTGAAGGAGGCAGCCCCATTCCTTGAGTCTCCTATTGACACATTCGTGCCTGGCCCTTGCAAGAGCCTTCCTGCTAGTCTGCTGTTGATTGTCAAGGTGTCTCCATGGGCAGTCAAAGAACTGAGGATACCCCCTGTACCCTTTGTCAGCCACAGCTCTCTCATCTCCCTCAAACATGTGGACCAAAGATGACAAAGAAATGGCAATATCAACCCATTCGCCACAAGGGAAGGGACCATTGATCCACACAATCCATCCAGTTTGAATACACAGAGCAATTTCATACCTCAGTCCAGGACCATTAAACTTCTTGGTATACCAACCAGTAGAGAAAGGACCTGGTTCCCGGATGCGAAAGTCGGTGCCATCAACAGTTACCAGACACCGACTGCCATTGTCATTCATTCGTCGGTACTCCCATCTGATCTGGAGGAGTGGTGTTGGAGTGCAACATGTACATGGTGAGCGCTCTCTGTTGATGAAGACGGCGATTGATAAAAGTGAAGAAGAAAGCTTGCTCATGGCTCACCAAGTCCAAGCTCGCGATCTTCTCAATAAACACCCACACCCAATGGCGAATTGTCTTTTCATCCTTCATGAAGATCATGGCCAGTACAGCGGTGACAGTGTATGTCCTGAGGAACATGAGTGTGGCCAGAAAGTAGGTTACCCATCGAATGTCACTGAGGGGATCTTCATCGTCCAGCATGTTCCACAGTTCTGCCGCAAGATGAGGAGCCACACCAAAACAGCCCCGAAATGTCCGATTATACCTGTACGTTTCATGGTTGACTGCTCTTGCTGTGAGCCCTTGGTAGATGGAAGCATTGCGTATGACAGTATCAGCTGTTATCTGCATGTTGTTGTAGAAGAGCGAAAGAGCGAAAGTCAATTTTGTGAGAATTTCGGAAGACAGAAAACTCGAAGATAATAGATCAAGTCATGTCCGGCTTACCTGTAGCGCTCTGTATTATCCAGTAGGCTGTGACCATCGACAACCTTGTAAGACCAAAAAGGAGATGCTTGGAAAGACGCCATTGTCGGTACCGGCAAGAAGAGATGGTGGTCATGGTGGAGGTATCGCTTGGAGAAATAGTGTCTATTTTGCCGGTTGGTTGACATCACCAAAGGAATTGCCACTCGGAATGGCAGAATGCGAACCTGCTTAAGAGAGGACCACCGGACGTTTCGTACTTATGTGTATCAGATTTCGCGGAATTATTCAAAACAGGTCCTTTTTCTTGCCCACATTTTTGTCTATAATGCTATGGCAAGCTGCGCCTTTCATCCAAGAAGACAAAAATCGCCACATTCCACCCATTACACCTAGAACGTCCAAGCCACCAGCCGATATGCAAGCTATGGTCAAAGATCAATCTGTCTAGCCAATAGAGGCTGCTGTAGTATACTTCAGAGTAGTTGATCCAACCTTAGTAATGGCTGTTTCCAGCGCTGAGGAGTGTACAATGCCCTGATAAAAAGCGTTCCAGGACGTCGTGATGGCCTGGATCGCCAATTTCAGCCAGCGATATAGAAACCTAGAAGACCACCTTCATAGCCAAAGAAGGCTCAGGTGCACTGTCTATTACTAGTAAAAGAAGGGAGCGCCCTGGTTGAACAGGCTAGGTCTTTGTAGTGTTCTATATTGCTACCTTCAAAGGGCGATATGAGTGTTGGTGCGTTCTGTGATGGGCCTAGCACACCCATAGCACAGGGATGCAAAATGAAGCATAGAAATGTGGCAAACAATTGATAATAATTTCGATTGGGCAGTTGAGAAATGTCCGGCAGGCCTTGGAAAACGTCCCGCCCACCTTTTCACATGAGCTGAGAGGAATAGAAAAATCGCGAGCTGTTAGAATGACCATGTGAACCAGTATGACCTTTAACTCTCCGAGTGACCCACATGCGTCTGAAAGTTTAATCCCATCAAGCTCCTGGCAATACCGGCAAGATTGATCTTGCCTGTACTGGTAAAGGAATTGCACAAACTGCACAACAAGCGAAACTGCACAGGTGTGGCTTTCCAGCACTATCAGTAGTAAACTAGCTAGCTAGCTAGTCAATCGATCTTCAAGATGGCGCTCTTCCTCTCTTCCTCTCTCCTCTCACAAATCGAAAACACCAACCAAAGCAACAGCAATTGGCCAAGCAGGATAACAACAGCAATCCACCATGTCCTCCAGAAAGAGCGTGGCAAAGAAAGGGGAACCTGTGAAGCACATCTTCAAGCAAGATGGTCCAGACTTCAAGTTCCTACTTCGCTTGTTCCACAATGGAACCATCACTGATGAACAACCCGCCGCTGTGAGAGCCATGCATGAGCGATTCCAGAAGTACTCCACAAACCAGTTTCGCTCTCAGTTCAACAAAGCCAGAGGAATGGCTGCTGGTGTTGCTCTCAGGGGACCACAACCACCACAGGATGATGATGGACCACTACCCATTCTTCCCAGCTTTGTTCCTCGCAACCAAGTCCCTGTCGTGGCAGCCAGGCCTCCTGCAGTTGCGCAGCTTCCTTCCATTGCTGATAATGAGGATGAGGATGATGTTGCTGATGAGGATGGCCCCACTACTTGGAAGCCAAAGAGGATGGTCAAGGAATGGGAGAACGAGCATGGAATTCGCCATGTCACTATTATTGTCTGGCTGAGCAGTGGAGCGACTGAAGCCGACATCGAAACCATGGTCTCTGCGAATGGCAAGAAGCTGACTATCAGTGAGAAGTGGCACCAAGACCTCTTGGATATTGGGGAGTTCTATTATCTCTATCAACAACACACAAAGGAAAACCTAGAGGATACCAATGTGAGGCGCCATGCCATGCAGCAGTATGTCAGGTCCATCCTTGATGTCAGGGGTGATGTCATTTCAGAGTTCACTATGGAGCTGCCATTTCCAGTTGATCCCTCTACCCTCAATGTTACCTTCCCCAGCTTTGAGTCTGGTGCATTGTTCTGCCATGTTGACTTGGCTGAGAAAAGGAAGAAAAGGGTAGCTCAATCCTTTGTCATGAGGAAGAGGCATGCCAAGGGCAAGAAGAAGGGTGATATTGAATACAACAACCTGACCCCTCATCACTAGACAAACTCAACAACAGCCATGGCTTTGATGTGTGTTAGGCACACTGTAAACAACTACAACAACCAACCAATCTAGGAGCAACTTGTTGAGTGCTCATGTAACCAAAAAGGGTAGCTTGTTGAATGCCCTTATAAAATAGTACTTGCATGTAGTGTGTAATGGCTTGTGTAGTGGTGTAATGCGTTTTCCTGCTCCTCCCAGAAGCCACGGCTTCTCAACCATAAGCAAGGCTAGACAGTGGACAGTTACCGTACCGGTGTTACATACTAGTACAGCTTGGCTTCCAATGCGTGGATGTAACCATGAATCACTACTAGTAGTACTGTGCAGACGCAATAAGAAAGAAAATGAAGCAACTAATGAGTGACCTAGCCACTAGCTAGTTGCTACTCCTAGCTAGCCACTAGTTGCTACTCCCAAGCATCATCCTTGTATCTTGCTTGAATCGAATCCAATCGAATAAGCTAGCATTGAAAGACTTCATCGTCTTTAGGTGTTGTCGTCGTTGATGTTATCTGGGCTTTTGGGACCACCGAATGTGCAGCATCAACCTTATTGTCCCCAAGAGGACGTGGCAACTCTGATGCCACGACAGGAACAACTTCAGCCGGGGGAGATTGCTTCTGCTGTAGTTGCTGTTCACGTCTTCTCTTTTGCGCTTGGTGCATGAACAGGGCAATTCCAGTGCCAATGGCAAACACCACCACGACCACCACGACCACCACGACCACCACGACCACCACCACCATCACGACCATCCCAGCACCCGCACCATCTTGATTTCCACTGTTCGACCCGGTTCCTGGAAGGGGGTAATCGGAATCCTCGCAGTATTTACCACTCCGACTGCAAGAGCATACCACATCCAGTTTGTTGTGCCAACTCTCTGGTGCGTAGATGAATAGGTAGCCACCGTAGCAAACGGCATCACAGGCTTCTTTTGTAGTGATTCCAGATCCCATGCAGCTCTTGACGGCAATCGCAACGGGAAAGCGCAGAGAGAGCAACAAGAGAACGACGACGAGCCAACACGAGTTGCTGTAACGTAGTATGTATATTGTCATGTCTCAGATATTCGATTGACGATCCTTGCACTGTGTTGATGTTGATGCTTGATGCTTGATGCTTGATGCTGGAGGTTGCCCTCAACTACCAGCTAGCAAGCTGAGGGCCTTTGAACTATTTGTTGTGATTTCCGTCCTTGCAGCTCCCCTTTTATGTCCGTGCAGATGCCCCATGATGAGAACCCAGCCCCTCCACAACCAGAACACCAGCAGCCGTAACAGCCACCCTGGGGGTTCATGCCCAAATCCCATCCATCGTCCATCAATACATAGTCTTGGAACTGCTGCTTTCAACATGCCTGTCAAACGTGGAACACCTGCTTACCATAGGAAACTTGAGGCCAATCGCATATACAAACAGAGGAAGTTAGCCAACAGAACAACCGAGCAGGAACTTGCAGATTTAGAAGCCCAACGAGAAAGAATGCGTCTCCATCGGGCTGGATTGACAGAAGAGGAGAAAGACCTAAGAAGGGAAGCCGACCGAAAAAGGAAGTGCAAGAGTCGTAAGGAGGAAACAAAGCAACAATCAGAGAATCGGAAAAGGAAGGACCGAGACAGGAAACGGAGAGAGTGGTCCCAGATATACTTTTTGAGAACGCAAAGAGAGGATCATAAAATGAGGCTGGAAAAAATAGAAAATAGATTCATCGAACAAAGATCCGAGCTGGAGAAGAAGATACGAATGAATGATCTATTCCTACAGCCAGCTTTTGGAGAAGTGGCACAGTGGGAAGCAATGGATGGGTGCAACTTTGAATGGAAAGAAGAAGAATCAAGGCAGGCAGAATCAGGCAGGAATCTGACAGACTGAGATGGCAACTTGTCAAGTGTGCTGAACAGGCAACTGACGAACGCGAGGCTGAAATACAATGCTACAATGACTACTACGAGATGTTGGAAGCAGAAGACATTAGTTTCTGGCGTGAGCAGGTTTCAGCATGGAGCAAAGAGCACCGTCCAAATTGGGATAAGATAGAACAACAAAGGGAAAAAAAGATTCAAGAAATGGAAAAATGGAGTAAAGGACCTGCTAAAAAGGTCGCTGATTACACACACCGGTATTATCAGTGGAATGCTCAAGCCAAGCATCACGAAAATCACATGTGCCATTTGCAAAAGGGAGCACCATGGTGCTCCCTTTTGCAAATGCACTCTACAATGAACTTGAACGGCAAGCTGGCTGGTTTAAGTACTGGGCAGACCAATCCAGTCGAGCTGCTCATTACTACAAGTCTTCGGAGAATGAACCTTCATTCGAGTTGCCGCCAAAACCTCAGACATGGAATCCACAACAGGGCAACAACGACAACAAAGAACATGGTTAGATATTGTAATCACTCATAGCATTGGAGCAAATACTAGCTAACTGCTCGAGCCCCTTGGCTTTTTATTCAATTCTGGTTGAGGGCACTAGCCTACGGCTGTCTGTTCTTTCATGTTTCACGGGGCCTGCCTTGACAATCCAAAAGAAATGAGGTACATGTACATCGTAGTACAGTTCGGGTTGAGCACGGTTAGCTTCGTGTCACGGATTGCATCTTCGAAAATCAATCACCAATCAGTCATTTTACGCATGGTTCATGATTCACAACACCCCGGAAGCAGGGTGACATGACCGTGAGCTTGATAACTGCCACCAACTCTCGGTGTGAGAGACAAAAACTGCTGCATCGCAAATTTCCACCCACCAGCGAGGGGTTGCCCAATTGAGAATTGAGGTTGACATCAGCGATGGTTTCCAGGAGAACAATCAAGTTTTTCTGGTCAAATCAACAACAATCAAGCATAGTAAAGTGAGTTTACATTAGCATGAAACGTAAAACTAGGTTTGCTAAGCCTACCAGCAACACATACCAATAATAACTTCAACTTCAACAGCTACCTGGTAGGCTGGTCGTCATGGACTGCTTGCCAACAATGTCAGAAGATCTCGAAGCTACCAAATCTGCCAATGAAATGCTCAGTCAAATAATAGCATTGGTCAGAGCCGCAACAATGATTGACACCGAGACAGAAATTGGTGTCGAGCTGGTTTTTGACAGCCAGCAGAGCCTAGTGTCCTCGCAGACAGAGAGTGCTGAAACAGGCAATGCTCAAGTTCACGACGAAATCACCATCATAGCAGAAGCCCACAAACCAAGCAGCTCTCAAGAAGACAACATGATCTCGAAACAAAAACAAGCAGCAGCTGCTGCTGCCGCTGAAGAAGAAGCAGAGATAAAAGACAATTGTATGCCTCCGCAAACCCTCAGGAGGCCAAAACGTGTTGGCTTTGATAAGGTCGAGGTCAGACACTATGCCATGATTTTAGACGAATCAAGATACAAGAATCCATTCTTGACTATTGGTTGGGAATCATTTGATCATCAAATTACCACAGTCCAAGATTTTGAAGCCATTCGCATACCACAGCGACAGCCCCCCTTTGTCATTGAGCCCAAGGAACGACTGTTCCTTTTGCTCCGATCGGGATTTTCGTCAAGCTTTGTTCGAGAGCATCTTGCGAAACCCAACCCAGCCGTCGAGTCTGAAATACCTGCTGTGGGAGAAACCTGCAAGGGGCTACTGAAGAAACAGGATCAAAAACAGCCCCCAAGAAGCAGTGTCTTTCAAAAGATGATGAAGATCCAAATAGGACTCAGACTCAGGGGACGAAGAAGAAGGGTTGGGGCTGCAGAGTTCTAGAGTTGACAAGGCAACGAACACTGTTGTCCCTGCTTCCAAACCACATCATGTGCTCCACCAGCGCCTGCATTTTTCTTCCGACATGCTATCTCAGCTCCGTGCGTGCCCGTCATTTTGTTGTACTAATGTAAAGACTGCTTATTTCCTGCTAGTTCTTTTTCTGGTATGGCATGTAATCTGCTGTAATCTGTTGTACTGTTCAAGAATCTGGCCTTTAGCAATGCGGGTCGTCATAGTCCCAACCAATCAATTCATTAAGCCGCTTTCCTGCTGGACAGTTTGTGAGGTGGAAGTGTGTTTTCCCTTTTCGGCCGCCTATAAAACTCCCCCAGGGCCCCCTCCAAAGAGTGTGACATTTGGAATCCTGACAGCCATGCACATGGGCCAACATGGCTTCCTTGTGTGCGTCATTTGGAAGCTTCCTGTACTGGTCTTCATAAGGATGGGGGCGTGGTACTTTAGATCCATATCGGCTGATTGAGTCGTTGTCGTCATTGTTGTCGTTGTCCTCTGCTTCGGTTTCTTCTGCGGTTTCAACGGGTTCGACGGTAGCAGCTTCTTCCGCGCTATCCTCTGCATCTGGTTCCTCCTCTGGTTCTTCCGCGCTCTCCTCTGGTTCTACTCTCGCTGCTACATTCTCCCTGGGTTCTCCGGTCGGTGCTGCAACACGGGCCGCTGCGTTCATTTGGCAAATGATCCGTTGCAAGGCAACATTTTCTTGGTAATGGAACGGTTCGTCTCGACAACTCGGGCATTGATCACGATGAAGCTCCGCAACATGACTCTTGCAAAGAATCGGGTTGCATTTGAGGCAGTTGATGCAATCGCGACAAGCTTCAAAACAAACAATGCATTCGAAAAACTTCGCGTCCATGATGATGTTGTTCTTTGGAGTGTTGCTGAAAGAGTGTTGAAATGGTTTGTGGCAACCAACTACAAGAAGAAGCAAGAAGGAACTTTTGGACTGTTCCAGTCGTGCATTTTCCGCGTGCATCCAAGCACGCGGCCACCCATGAAGCAACTGGAATGGCATTTTTGATGGGAAGACACCAAGCCCGACAGAGCCCTTCCCGTTGATTGCCTCCACTGGCAGCCAGCCACATGAAGTGGAAAATCCAATGGAATGGCTCGTTCAATTGATTGATGCGAGTGGAGGTGCGGCCGATGCGACTGTACCGATACCAGTACTGGTACGGTACGTACCAGTACTACTTTTGAATACTGGATGGTGTCAATACCGGGTCGTGTAGTAACGGTACATATGCATATATATCGACGACTGAGGACTAAGGATTGAGGTTTTAGATGGATACTGCTTTGATGAAAGGTTGTTAGCTTCTAGCTAGTGTTTGCTTTGGCTGTAGAACCAATGACATCTGCGGAGCTCATTAGAAGTATCCAATCGGTACGAACGAAGTCACTGCAACGTCCTCGAAAGCAATCTTTCACTATTCATCGCAAGTGTAGACCGAATGATACTTTATTCAATATCAAACTTCATGCCCAAGGCTTCTTCGCACCATTTCCAAACATTCTCTCTATTTGTCATTGAAACCACCAACTTTTCTCCACCCTTTTTGACCGCAACTCCCTCCTCCACAGTGCAAATTGGAGGCCCCTTCAGCTGCTGCTGAGGCATGTAAAAGCATCCACTCTTGGTGTTGACACCAAAAGCACACATGCTGATTGGTAAAGATCCGTCAGCAGGAGACTGGCCATTCCCTCCAAGAAGCTTGGCTGCCCAACTGGGCATGCCTCCGTCGCTCATGGTGGTGACCTGCAGATTAGAAGTGGCCAATCCAGGATCAGCGCTGCTAACCTGAATCTTTCCCTTAAGCGAAGAAGCAGCAATTTTGTCATGCAAAGCCATGGCAAAATTGGCATTCGCCAGCTTTGTTTGATGGTATCGGGACCATGGGCCCCTGAAACCCAACAACATCTCTGAGAACATGCTTCTTTCTCCGCCCAAACTTCCTGGCTTACTCTGCATAAAGTAGTCCTTTTCCAGATCTTTACCCGGAGAATCACGGGCACTGCTAGAATGAGTAGCAACACGTGCTTCTCCTCGGCTCTTGGATGCCTGGACAATACTTTTCCAAACACCCTCCACAAGGACAAAATGGGATAGCTGGTTAGTCTGCATTTGGACGTCATACCCATCCTTGGTGCGCAGATCTTTCAAGGCCATAACTCCTGCGTTGCAAACCAACACGTCGAGCCCGTTGTGTTTGGTGGCAATCTTGTTGATTTGGGTCGCAGCTGAACAGACCGAATCCAAATCTTGCAGATCACAAGTAACGGTTTCAATGACAGTAGGCGACCCACATCCCTTGGCCAATTCCTTGAGATCTTTGGTTCCTTGTGCAGAGGATTTGGAATCACGGTTACACAGCATCAAAACTTTGGCATTTTTTCGAACAGCAACCTCGGCTATGTGAAAGCCAATACTCTTCTCAGAAGTCCCGGTGATTGCGACCACTTTCGAGGACAAGTCTTGGAACTTGTTCGGATCGGCGACGTACTCATCAAAGAGTTTGCGGCAAGACTGGCCGTGGTCTTCCAAATTGTATTCTTTTCCACTCAGTGTGTTACCCATGGTCTCTGCTTGTTGGTTTTTTAAAAAGGTTTCTGGCTGATTGTTTTGTTTTTGCTTTTGTTTTTTGTGGAGATCTCACACTTCTCACTTCATCACAGCACCCTTTGCTCCAAGAATTCCATGGATCGATCCTGCCCTCGACCATTAAGTGCTTGGTGAAGGCATTGAATTGGGGTCCACTACCCTTAAATACCTTGACTTCCTATCCATGACTCATTGACAGCATGACAGCACCGCCGGGTTCCTGTCCACAAGCAATTATTTTAAAATAGCAAGATCTGGTAGACAGTGTTGGACGGAGTCGAGTCGAGTCCGCCTAAGCTCCGAGCATCAACCATCGCGAGATTACTAGAGTGCAATGATCTATCTATGAGGAGGGTTTAGATCTGCTTTGCCTCCCAACATCTACCAATGAGACCTCGTTGCTTCACCATGGGCCGTTTCCTGTAGTGCCTGGTGTCTGGCCGCGTTTACAGGCATTTTCCGTCCCTGCAAATGCTGTTTGGGACCAAGATGTCAGATGCATTGTCACAAATGAACTGCACATCGCGGTTGTTCCTATCCTGCAAAAGACAGGCATTGGTTCCAGCAACCTGATCAGCCTTGGTAGCAAGTTGACAGTTGTCATCACGATAGTCCAAGATGATGTTGTGAAGAGTGTGGGCCTGGTCATCAGAGATCACAACGGGGGACTTGGCCATGTTGAACCAACTGCCTCAGTACAAGGGGGAGTGGTGAGACCACCTCCATAGTGGTAGAACTTTTGCTCTGGAACCAGGCTGCAACATCAAATGGTGTAACAATGGTGTGACAAGTCTTTGACCAAGGCTGGACTTGGCATTTCCAGATTTCTTCATCTTGCTTCAATGCACGGTTTCCAGAACAACTAGAAATCTTGGCATTCTGAGCAGCAACCCACATGTCCAGAACCTGCTGGAAGTCCGAATCAGGTCCTGATTGCAACTTCAAAGGAGACGTATTTGTAACCAACAGCTTAGTCGGTTTATAACTGAACACCACCATCCGCAAAACGAGACACGAAGATCGACAAGCCAGATTTTTGGGTTGCAGCGTTGCAGCAAAGGAGAAAGGAATAAGCTATTGACGCCTCTGCCAAGCCTTCTGCGAGAGAGTAGACAAGGGCAACTTGATAGAACTTCTTGGAAAGAGTACCTTGACTGAGAGCCATGTCGGGATTTGGTGGTGGCTTCGGCAACCCAGCTCCAGCTCCAGGGTTTGGATTTGGCGGAGCTCCGGCTCCAGCTTTTGGAAGTAGTGGATTTGGATCACCCCCGCCTGCAGCACCTGCCCCAACTGGATTTGGCAACGCCAACACTAGTAGTCCTTTTGGTGGGGGTTTTGGTGCTCCAGCATCTGCTCCAACCACCTTTGCTGCTCCTGCATCGTTTGGAAACGCCCAACCACAACCGCCATTTGGGGCGGCTCCTGCTAGCAGCGGGTTTGGGACGCCCGGATTTGGGGCGGCACCGTCATCGGGCTTTGGCCAACCCTCTTCTGGATTTGGATCGACTGGCTTTGGAAACAGCAGCAGCAACAGTGACAATTCGATGTTTGGAGCCCCCTTTGGTCAACAGCAGCCGCCACAGCAACAACAAGGTACTCAAATGATGGACGTCCCAAATCCCTTTGGGGGAGGGGCTCCTGCTCCCTCAGTTTCCTTTGGCATGTCGTCCAACGTAGTCACGGGAGGAAATGCGCCCATGAATAATGCATCTGGCGGTGGGATGTCATTTGCCGCTCCTGCCAGTTCCACGTTCGGCGGCAATAATAACAACATCGACAATTCGACATCTTTTTCATCCAATCCATTTGGTGGATCGGCGGCCCCATCCGCCCCTTTTGGAGCAGCTCCAGCCTCTGGCATGACGTTTGGATCGTCATCATCGTCATCACAGCAACAGCAGCATAATAGACAGCAATCATCGGGCAGCGTCGAAATGGGAGGATCAGATTCCCCAACTCCCATGACAGCTTTTGGAAGCACATTTCACAGCACATCAGACCGAGGTATGGATGGATCACTCAGTCCAATTCCCGAAGATAATACTATGGGTGATCCATTCGGTTCTGCTTCGGGGAATGCTGCCGGTGCTCCTTCTTCGGCGCCACCACCACAACAGGATGGCAAGGCGGATGAACTAGCACGTCTCAAGGCCAAAATTGAAGCCAAACGAAAGAAATTGGCAGACAGAATGAAAAACAAGGATGGCGGCAATAATGACGATAGTGCTGCTGCTGCTTCTGCTGCTGCTGGTACTAGTAGTAGTCAACAACAACAACGACAACCAAAACAGTCTCAAGAGAGCCATCGAAATCGACGAAATCGAGGCGCCGCCAGCCCTGGGCCAGAAGATTCCTCCGACCAAAAATCAAGGGCGGAACGAAATGCCATTCGCTTTGCCACCACCACCACCAATACGGCCACACGATCTCACCTGCCATCCGAGTTGCGGGGGCAGCAGCAGTCAGGTGCGCCTAGTGGTAGACCCTCTGCTACAGCCTCCTCGGCTATCGGAGGGGGAGGGAGACCCTCTGTTACATCGGCTGTCGGAGGAGAAGCCAACCGAGAAGACTTGGCATCGGCCAAATCACTCATTGGAACTTGCATGTACATGTGTCCCGACGAAGAGTTGGTACGACGAGAACGTGAAAACGACATTCAGCTGCTGGAAATGCCCGACCCCGGGGGCGTTCACCCTCCTCAGTGGGGATTACGCAACACGGTTGTCAAACGGTTTCGAAGATCTGCGGCAGATTACAAATTGGATGTGCCAGAATGGATCAGACCTCCCGATGTCTTGGAGGAGGTCTGCGCCTATCTGGAAGAGTGGGTCATGGAACGGGACCGACAAGGGCCCGATCGTCGCTTTCCACAAAATGGAACACCCAACTCGTTGGATGTGTATCAATTCATTTGGGATCGAACGCGAATGATTCGCAAGGACTTTATTCTATCAAACTATGTGGGAACAGGGGGGATGTGCGATGCAAGAGCTGTGCGATGTCACGAACGAATTGCTCGGTGGCATGCCATGTGCGAGCATCAGCTGAGCCATATCAATGATTTCGTTGTTCAACAGGTACGTATGAATGCATGCGTGATGTGTGGGAAACGGGTCTATCGCAGGTCGGATACTCAACAGAAAGCTTGTCGGTCGTGAACGGAACAGTCGCAACAAAACATTGCGGAGCTGGGGCAGGTAAGTGATGAATCAAGTTTCACCAGTGCATTCGGTGTTTATTAATAGTGCCCCCAGATTGGCTCATGCTTCAAATGGGTTTCGCTGCTTGGTTGCATGGAGATAGACAATAAAGACGCTGAACCATTTCTACGACGACGCGATGGGCCGTGCATACATTGAAGTCCCAGACGATCAGGGGAGGGAAACACGGACAAACTTCAACGATTTTTCTCACGGATGCCAATCCGATATTTGCCAAGGTGTCAATCCAGTGGACTATGACGGGTCGCCGTTAACGAACACAGCAGATGCATCTGCGCTGTCGCAACGGTTGATTGGGAAAATGACCGTGAACAGTCCTTCTCGAGGTACAGCCGAATGCGAGATGCGGGGTCTGTATATTCTTCTGGTTATGAATAACGAGGGCGGTATGGAAGTCATGAGGTACACAGCTGCTTTGTACCGCGAAAGACCCGAAATCTATAATTCCAAACCAGTGCAACTTGCGCTGGAAATCTTCAAGGTGAGCGCACCGCACTGCTGAAGAGGCATGAAGTGAATCATGCTGCAGCAGGAATTGCTCACCAACCTAATCTTGTACACTCCCCCGAAACAGGCGAAGAAAGCCAACAACTACGTCCGCTTCTTCAAATTTCTGAGAGATCCTGGAACACCCTATCTTTTTGCTTGTCTGATGTTCAAACACATCGAGTCCATGAGGAGAATCGCGTTCAGAATGATTAGCAAAACGTATGGAGCCAAGCGAAGGGATACTGGCGAGCCCATTTACGACGCCTACCCGTTGAAGAAACTCGCGGAGATTCTTTGTTTCGATGATTTGGACGAGGCGCGAGCGGCTTGCAAGCATTTCAACATCACCATCAAACCTGTGCAGCTCAAACCGGGCAGTGATGGTAAAAGTGGAATGGCAGAGATCATCTTTTGGAAGCAGACGGACTTCACCGAACCGAGAGACGAGGAAAAGAACATTCCAATTGTGCTGCGCCCCAAAAAGAATCTGAAGTACATCGAAAGCAAACTGAACAAGGCGACCAGGCTTGGAGTTTGTAGGGGTGAAGTCAGCGGTGCCGGGTCCTCTTTGATGCAGCTTCCTTCCAAGACATCGACAGCCGTCAGTCCCGATGCTGCGCCATCGGCAACTCGGGCTCCAACCTCAACCGCCCCTGCGAGTCAACCCGTACATGTACAGCCGAGTGTTCCAGTGCCAGCTCCTGCCGCATTTGACGATGAGGCCGCGAAAGTCGAAGAGCTCAGGAGACGCCAAAAGGCTCTCTTGGAGGCAGCGGCCAAGAAGAAGAAGTTGGAGGAAGAAGCCAAGCGAAATGCAGAAAAGGAGCGCTTGGAAGCGGAGAGGATTCGCAAAGAACGCGAGGAAGAGAAGAGATGGCTACGAGAGGAGAAAAAGAGAAAAGAAATGGAAAGGCTGGCCGAAAAGCGGCGGCTCAAGGAAGAGGAGGAGAAACGGAAAAAAGAGCAGGCAGTAAGAGAGGAGCGGGAACGAAAAGAGAGAGCCGCCAAGGAAGCCCTTCGACGGCAGGAAGAAGCTCGGAAAAAGGCTGAAGCAGAAGCAGCTAGGAAGAAAGCAGAAGAAGAAGAAAGGGAGCGACAAAGGCTTGAAGCTATTAGGAAGGAGAAAGAGAGAATCGAGCGCGAAAAACGCGAGGCGGAAGAGCGCCGTAGAAGAGAAGAGGCCGAGCGCATCAGAAAGGAGCAAGAAATGAAGCGACTTGAAACCTTGAGGGCACAGGAGGAGGAACGTAAAAGGCGAGAAGCCTTGAAAAGGAAGGCACAGGAGGAGTTGGAACAACGTGTTGACAAAGCCCGCAAACTACTGCTGTTACGACGTTGGCGCGAACAGCTACCTCGCAGCTTTCAGTCCAGTAGAAGTACAAGGGAAAGCCTGGGACGGATGGACCCTACATTCTCTGTATCATCCCCGTTCACAGAAAACTTCCGCGCCGAGGAGCTAGTGTCGGAGGGATCGAATTCGCGATCCATGGCACAATCTCAAATTGTGGACACACGCAAAATACTGAATCGAATACTTTCCGAGAAAGATCCAGCCGCGCTTGACGTGGCTTCCTTATTGATGAACAAGCTTCAAGGGGATGGTGAGCTTTTGCATCACATGCGGCCAACTGGTCTTCGGATGGTTGAAACGGAAGCATTGAAAACAACGATCTTGTTGAAAGTTGCGGTGGTTCTTCCAGAGCCAGATGGGCTAGAGGAGGAAAGCATGTACGAGTCGATTCATACCTGGCTAAATAGGCGCCTTGAGTACGGGAAGGTTGACATTTTGGAGGACCTGGCTTCAGCTGGAGCTGGAGCACAAAACCTTGAGGTCAGGGTCCTTTTTGTGAAGGCCGATAGCTGGGTTGGCCCTGTCGTCTGTGATGCGGCGCTCTTTGTTATCCCACCCGAATTTTGCAGCGGCGATTGGAGCTGCTCTCGGAAGATTGAAGGGATCGCGTCGGCTTTTGGATGCATTGGCCCAGATGTCCCCCGTGTTGCTTATGTACTGGGCGAGCAATTCGACTCAGAATACCGCGAGACTGTGAACGAGTTCCTTGGTGAATGTCTCCAACAGACTGAAACTGCAGAGTTCAGAACCTTCTTTCCGGTCGAGTCGTCTGTATCTGCTCTGGAACGCTGCCTCAAGTCGGCGTTGAAGTCCCTGATCCAAACCTTCACTGATGATGCTCCTCTGGCTGTGGAGCAGGTGTCCGCCGTCAAGCTAGCGAGCAAATGCATCACCGATACACTCTGGACGGCGTCAGTCTTCGACTCATCAGAACGTGCGAGAGTGGCTCTGTCCGCCCTCCTCAAGGAGCTCGACAAGCAGAGTCACTCCATCGAAGATTCGTGGTCAAGCTGGCCTGCCGGAGATTTTGCAACGGAACAAGGCTTTGTATTGGACTATTTTTGCAAGGATCTCCATCTCCCGGTTGCATGGGCATACCACGGGTTTTTGGATAGGGCACGACGCGTATTAAAGGAACTACACGAGGCGTTTCAAGAAGCAAGCGTTCCTTTGGCGGTTGCCAAGATGACAGCGAATGCCCCCGCTGCTTTGCGCCGCGAATGTGACCAACTCCTGGAAAATAGGCACTATCGTAAGTGTATTCAAGTGGCTCTCGAATCGGGCTTCGTGGCCGATGAGATGCTTTTCTTGCCTCAGGGCGCCGCCGAAGAAATCGTGGAAGCCGCGATCCGGAGTGCCACTGGCTCCGTTGGATCAGACTTGGATGCTCTCGACGAATCTGACAACCTCAACAATGAAGTCGACTTGACAGGATCGGAAGATCATCCATCTATGATGGAGTCGACCCCCGCCACGAGAGAGAACGCGAAGCAGAAAGAAGCAGACGAATCCGAAGCCACCGACGACGCGGGTGTCTTTAAGAAAGCCCAAGACATCTTTCAGATATCCAGAACGATTTCTCCGGTTCCGCCAGGTGCAATGAACACACCCAACACTGTGGATTCTCCACCTGGGTCGGAATCGCCACCACCAGGCGTCCAGTCGAACTACAAACGCAGTTATTCGGGCATGTCGGAAGGCGACGAATCGGATTCACCGTTTCGATCTCCTGTTGTTTCTGGGTCCTCGACCACTCCACGCTCCCTCTTGAAGCGACCTCGCAATGCGTCGTATCGATCACAAGACGAAATTGAGAGCAGCGAGTTCACAAAGAAGCTGCAGGCGTTGTATGGTGGAGGCGCAACTGTGGATATGGACGTGGGAGATACAAGGCTTTCACGACTCGTCCGCGACCTTCCATTGCAATCGGACCAGGATTGAAGGGATGGATCATTATCCCTCATGTTGTCTGCAGAGGCAGAGTTCACTCCTTGCTAGCGATCCATGGCAATCAATCTACCCGTACCTTCGTAGAACTTTCTGGAAACAGTCTTATCTGTCATGTTGCCAATGCTAAGAATAGGAAACAGAGCGTGTTTTGTCATTTTTGTATCTGTTTGTCTGCTACGGTAGTCTACTATTCTAATGGAGCAGCCTTGCAAAATATTCAGAAGTGCTGATCTATCTACTTTCATGCTAGCTAGAGTCTGATGCTTTAGCCTTTGCTTGCTTTTCCTCTTCTATTATCTTGGTGAGATATTCATCGCTGGAGGTTGGATCAATACGGTAGCAGTGTGAGAAAGGTATGGCTGGGCAGATGCCATGCCTTCGGATAAAAGATACTGCAAAAGCAAACACAACACATACCTGTACTGTTTGGCAGCCTGGACACAACCAATCAGTTGTGCCATTTCTCCGCCTTCCCGTGGTGGCACCAATGGCCCATGATCGTGCATACCACTGTAGTCGTAGGACCCCGCGGATGGCTTGGTTGGCTCCACTCCCGGTGGCAATCCTAGGCGAGCAGGTTGCGTCCCTTGATCTTGGGAGAAAGTTTTCTGTTGCCGTGGCTCTTCATCATCATCGCTGGAGGATCCAATCCAAAACGTCATTTTGACCGACACGGGAGGACGAGAGGGAGGCATCGTTGCATGCAATATCTCCTTGGTGGTGGTACCAGCTAATAGAAGATCAACTCGCAGAAGAACAATGCCGAACGGTATCTTTTGTTGTTGTTGTTCTTGTTCCGTTAGTTGGGTTGGTGCACCTTGTCTTCGCTGTTGCTTTTTGGAGCAGATGGCCGAGCCACTGCGCGACCTGTGAATATGTAAAATCCCCGTAATAAAGGGTCACTTCAACCTCTTGTGTCAACGTGTCCCAATGCATCGTCACTCCTCTCTCGCTCCTCATGAAATCGATGAATTGAATTGAAGCCACGTCCAAGCAAGAGATCAACACAATCTGTTCGGCGAGAAATACAATAGTTACCAAAAATACATTGGATCCCAAAACCGTTGGAGAGAGAGAGACCTATTCCCTCATTACTGTATTATTGATCCGCCTGAGCGAATAGTAATAAATAAGCCAAGATGACCCCCGGTGCAGAATTGAACATCATGGCAGAGGCCGCTAGCAACGGTAGCAGCGAGGATCTCTTTGTTCGAGAAGGTCGGGCTGTGACCGTCAAGACACCCTCATTGTCGAATGTTTCAGCCTTGTCCAAAGACGAATCGTTTCCAGAACAACAAGAACAACAACAACAACCAGGAAAGGCCACCATGGACCTCTTGCAGGAGACAGAAGAGCTCTTGAAGAAAATGAACGACATGAAGTTGCAAGCCAGTGCCACCGTGGGAATGGGCGTTGCGGATGGCAGCATTGCGGGACCTTCGTTGAGTAGTGTTGGCGGTGATGTGAGCACTCATAATGGTACGATCAGTATTAGTAACAACAGTGGTGTTGGTTTGGCGGGAAGTGTCGTCATGGAAGAAGAAGGCGTGGAAGAGCAATTGAATGAAATGTTGGAAAAGGCAGGACATCTCTCGTCCATGATGACTTCCATTACGGGGGATGGATTGTCTGCTTACACTGGCAACGACAATTCGCAAGTCGGCGCATCCAAGGCATCCTTGGTCATGTCTCTGTCGCGTTCCTCGCATGATGGTACGGACTTATTGCTGCTACAACAAGAACATCCCCTGATTCGAAACTCCTTCTCCACTCCTGCAGCTGCCGAATTGACACCCGCTACTACAGATGACACATCCAGTAGTCATGCTGGAAAGAGAAGCTTGCGACAAGATCCTCCAGGTTCCGTTCCATCCAAGGACCAAAACAATAAGGAAACGGACGTCACCATGAGCCCGGCGCGTTATGCAGCCTATCAACGCCCCACTGCATCGGTTTCGGTCAATCCATCCTTCCAGGATGACGACGTCTCGTCAGTTGGATCGGCGTCCTTTCGACCCTCCCATTATGCGCAGAGAGGAGAACGAGGCAGTTTGTCGCGTCACTTCAATCCCAGTTTTACACACCCGGAGGAGCATCCAGAATCACCACAACCGGAAACACCCTCTCCCGAGCGAGACAATTTGTTGGGGGTGTTACCGCCCAGCAGCAACAGTGTCCAGGCAGAAGAGGCTTCCAACAACAACAACAACAATATCGAAATCCCCAAATTGAAAATGGTGCCCGACGGTACCGATGAACCCGAGACCGTCCCAGAACCGGTCTGTGCCAAAATTCCACCCAGAGATTTGCGTGCTGATTTTGTGGATTCTTCCACCACCCGGGATGCTTCCGAACGTGGCGTGCATTGGGAAAAGGTCACCACGGCTATCTCCGGAGACGAGGATTACGTGCCCTTGGTCGATTACAGTAACACTGTCATGTCACCCAAACATGATGGAATGAGCACCGGCAGCTATGGGTCTTCCTCCTCCGCCAGTCGGCTCGAACAACACCGTCGACGGGTCGAAGCCAGGCGAAAACGTCGCTTAAGGAAATTGGTCATGGTCGCTCCCGTCATGCTGGCAGTGGCAGCCGGCGTTTACTTTCAGGTCTTGTCGTCCAACAAAGGTCCAGTGGAGGCAGTGACACCAGTCCAAGAGTTTGTCCCCGTCTTCAAGACGTACGATACGGCACTCTTGCAAGATCCAGCCGCCAATGGCTTTACGTTTGAAGGCATGCTTGGCGAATTTGACGGCGACAATCATTCCTTGCTCGTGGCGTTTCCAAAGTTTATTCCACCACCTATCGAAGAAGAATCCAAAAAAGCGCCAAGGCAACCTCTGAGGCGTCTGCGTCGTTTCTTTGGCCGTTTTGGAAGAATGAAGTAGAAGTGGAATGCTCATTATTGGTGTGTGAACCCAAGCGTTGGGAAAGAAACAATCAAAAATCAGCCTGCAGGTGAGGCTCTCTTTTTCATTGTGCATTACAAAGTGGATTTATTGTGCACAACAACTTACTGTGGATGCTACTGGAAACATGCCCAACCAGATGGAAGAAAATGAGGATCTTGATTGAATGTGGGCGCTCCGTGCATAATTACTTATTTGAATTCAGAGAAGAGAAATGAGTTCTCTCTCGCTCCCAAGTTGCCTATAGAGTGAATGGAGGCAAAAACAGCATACTAGAGGCTAGGGCAACTTGGACTTTCTATCAGCTAGAGTTTAAAAAGAAAAAAGAATAGTTGCATAGCGTATTGGCCAACGTCAGAAAGTATCAGGACCAACAACGAAATGAACGTTGGCAATCAATGGGTACAGAAGAGGAAGGGGCTTTGCCAAGGGGATGCGGAGAAGAAGCTTGTTCTGGCAGTCCCTCCCCTATTGGCTGAATAGAAAGCTTCTCGGGTTCATTGTTGGATGTTGCTAGCTATATTGAGACTCAATCATTCGAGCTGGCTAGGTACCTGACTCCATGAGAGAGGTCGACTCTACTAGTAGCTAGCTAGCCACTCTGTGGTACAGGACCGTCCGACGGTTTTCACACAGGATTTAAAAAATCTTGAAATTGCCACGACTGACTGACCGTTTAAAACAATCCCTTAAACAATCCCTTAACTCATCAACTATCCCTTAAACAATCCCTTAAAGAAACAATCCCTTAAAACAATCCCTTAAATCTTGGACTATCCCCTAAACAATCCCTTAACGCCAAATGGAAATACCATACAACTATCCCCTATTTCTTCAACTATCCCCTAAACAATCCCTTAAATAAACAATCTCTTAACAACAATCCTTTAAATCTTTGACTCTCCCTTAAACAATCCCTTAAGAAACAATCCCTTAATTGTGCTGGTCAAGTTTTTTGTCAGTCGTGGAAGCTTTTTAAATCCTGAGTGAAAACCGTCGGACGGTCCAGTATCCCTGTTGCTTCATAATGTCAATTTTCCCACTAGCTAGCAGCTGGGGGGAATTGTCCAAAATACAAAACTTGCATGAAAAATACGTTTTGTTGGAGGCACATACGTCAGTGGTGGTGTCAAAAAGCAAAAAGCCCGTTCACACATCACAATGGCCACACCCAATCTCCTTATTGCGGTCTCGCAGCTGTAAACTCTGGTTGAGGTTAGAGAGATAAAACAAGATGACAAGTCAACCCATGTATCGGTATCAGCGTCAAAATCTGCCAGTGCTGCTGTTGGCGTCGTTTCTACTGTTGGCAGCACTTCCAGTGTCCTCTTTTGTCTATCAGCCAGGGCACCGAAATAGCAACCCGAAGTCGATACGTATATCCGCCATCACCACCTCGGATCCCTTGCTTCCTGAAGAAAATCCGGATATTGATGAGAACCAAGAATCGCTCTCTGGCGTCTCCTACCGTCAAGTGTTGCAAGGATTGTCACGGCTGTATCCACCGGAATCCTTGGAAGAGCGCAATGCAGCTTCCCGGACTGATGGTTATTGGCCATTTATTCAAAAGGGCCAAGACCCACCCAAGCAATTTACCTACGGAGAATTCGATTTGGGATTCTTTGCACAGTTGTTGGATCGAGTGCAGCAAGAGTATGACACAAGTAATGATGGTGATGGTTGGAAGGACAAGGTCTTTTGTGATATTGGCAGTGGCGCGGGTCGTCTTGTTCTGGCTGCAGCTGCCCTCCATCCCCAATGGAAACTTTGCCGTGGCATTGAAATTCTACAAGGCATATCCGATGTAGCCAATGCCAAGCTTCAAGAGTGTAGAGATACTGCAGTGACAGGCAGTTCAGAAGAAGAAGAAGAACAACAACAACAAGTCGATGATTCCAAAGAGGAAGACGACGACGACGACGAGGAGTGGGTCGAGAATGAGCATGGTCTCCTGATCAAAAGAGAGACCCCAGAAGGGCCAGAGGAACCCGAAACGAGTGAGGAAATTGACGCTACCGCCACGTACCGTTTGGCCATTGACGACAATCAGCGACTCCCCTTGGCACCTGTAGAATTCGTCTGTGGCTCTTTTGAAGACCCCTATCTGTATTTTGGGGATGTAGATTGCGTCTTTTGCTTCTCTAGTTGCATGTCGGAATCCATTCTGCAGTCACTGTCACAGGCGATTGGTCGACAATGCAAACCAGGCGCCATCGTCATTACAACCGACTTTTCACTGGAACTGGAGGGATACATTGGCCCGTATCCCGATGACGACGAATTGCCCTACGGCGGCTATCAACTGGAACTGGTTGAGCATGTGGATGGGTATTGCTGGTTGACGGGAGGACAATCCACTGCGTATATTCATCGTGTCCAAAAGTCACTCTGGGAGCCTGGTAGTGGGCCACGTATCAAACCAGAGTTGCCAGCATCCGAAAAGGCATTTCGAGCCATTCAGGCCATGGAGCAGGAACGAGATGAGGCTGCCGTCAAGTTCCTATCTGGCGTTCGCAACAACATGGTCTTTGCGGGCTATCCAGAGCAGTGGATGCCCGATCCAAGCGACTATCAATCCAGAAATGAGCCTGATGAGGACTAACAAACCTCGCTTTTTGTGTGACGCAGTGTCGTGCTGCAGTACGGCAGAACAGAAGCAGAAGGCAATCAACGAGGTCGCAAAAGATTCGATTCGACCAATCATCAAGAGAACGAGAGCTCTGGAATTCATCTTTTGCTCAGCCAAACCAACCTGACCGCATCAGAAAGTTCGAAGCAATACCTTGTCCAGACCTGGCTTGATGGAGATTGTGGTATCTTCAACCTGCCTTTGGTAACCCCACACGGATACCAATTATCTACTTGGGCTAAGTTGTTTATCCTACAATAAGTCAAGTGTAAGCTACGCTTCTGGAAAACCACTGCTTGAATGAATGCCTGCCCGTCTGGCCATTCTGGCTGATCATGAAATCTTCACGCTGTGGCTAGCTGCATAGGCCTGCAGATTTCAGCAGCTGTGAGGGCGTTCCTGCACAGAAGGCCAGCAAAATTCTCTACTAGGTGGTAGCAAGCAAAATAAGACATTTCATATCTGTATCCGCACGAATTGCTCGGTAGCCAGAGACGATCTTGTGTCTGTGAGGCACGTCTTATTGAAAGATACCACCAAAGTTACCCCCATGCTTCCTAAATCAAAAGGAAAGAGAACAATCAACCATATCGATGAGGATACAGTACCATACACGTACATCATTTCACCATAATAGCAACCCAATTTGATCGACTTGACACGTAGATTTTTTTTCATACGGTACCTGCAAACTGTAGTTGATGACCAACTCCCCTCGAACATTGAAGCAGTCTCTGAGGTCTCCCACGCATTCATCGGGCCCAGGAGCAAATGCCGAGTTGCAATATAGAAACAAAGAGGATCCAGTTCCTGACAATTTTAGAATTTTGCGTAGAAAAGTAATCACCGATGAAAAGCGTTGGTCGGCACCAATCTGAAACTTTGTTTTCTTCATCATGGGAGCACTCCCCACGGCCACGAAATGGACCTTGACTTTTTCTTCCGCTGCTGGATTGCCCTGACCATTGGTGTTGGCATTCTCCGAAGATGGATCACTCATGGCTCCGTTTTAATTTTCAGTTGTCGAGTCGACGACAAAGATGATCGATCACGATACGACGGCGGTTTAGTCAGAGACAACAAGCAATAAGAAAGTGGTGGGGTGGATGATGCTCAATGGTCAAGGCCTTGAGTCGTGCGTGTACTCCTTTGCATATCCCGAACCTTTTAACTGGCCCTACCGGCTCGCGGCAGGTGCTCCATGGCGACAAACAACCCAGGCGCCACAACCATCTGCATGGTCGCCACACAGCAAACCCACCAGCCAGTCGCATCATTGCATTGAGATATTGAGCCATTGAACCATTGAACCATTGAACCAAAGAGACCGCATAGGACGAGGAGTGGGCATTGCGTATATCAATATGAAGTTGTTGGTGAAGACTCTCAAGGGAGAGAAGTTCCACGTCGAGTGTGAACCAACCCATGTTGTATCGGAAGTCAAAGCCATTGTGGTAAGTAGCCGTTGGCATTAGGATTCCCTCAGCAGTTCTTGCGATCGATGTGGCCTTCGCCGGTCCAGTTTCTTGTCGTCGCTTTTGATTTTTTTAAATGTAGACGGGTACCTGTAGGGTGTTGGTCGTCTTTGTTGGATCCGTTGTGTTGATTTGGCTTGATTTTGTCGAATCGAATCCAATTTTTGGGATTTGTTTGCGAGGAGGCGAATCGAATCAAGTAAGTCATTGTTGATGGCTCATGTTGACCGCTTTGTGTCGAACAGGAAAAGGCCAAGCCTGAGCTCGCGGGATCCACCATGAAATTGATTCACTCTGGACGTGTTCTGAAGGATGATTCCAAAGTGGAGGAATGCAACATCAAACCCACCGATTTTCTTGTCGTCATGGTGACAAAGGCCAAAAAACCAGCAGCTGCTCCTGCCGCTGCGGCTCCTGCCCCTGCAGCGGAACCAAAAACACCAGCTCCGGCAACTGCTCCTGCTGCTGCCACCACGACAACCACCACCACAGCTAGTACCGCGACAACTCCCGCAGCATCTTCGTCTACGGAGACTCCTGCTGCTCCTGCTCGACCTTCGGGCGCCAGCGAATTTCCCGACGAAGTTGTTTCCAATCTTACTGGCATGGGATTTCCAGAGGCTGAAGTTCGTCATTGCTTGCGAGCTGCCAATGGAAATCCAGATATTGCCATGGAATTCTTGACCAATGGAATTCCCCCGGGTGTTGAAGCGGCTGCATCGGGGGCACCCTCTCCAGTCGCCAATGCTGGATCGGGGGCTGCTGGAGGCCTCGAGTCATTCCGAAATCACCCCCAAATCAATCAGCTTCGTCGATTGGTCCAGACCAATCCACACATGCTCCAGACCGTCCTTGCCCAGATTGGCCAACAACAACCCGACTTGCTACAGGCAATCAACCAAAACCAGGCGGCATTCTTGGCCATGATGAATGAACCTGTCACGGATGCTCCAGCACCCGCTGCCAATTCGGGATCCTCTTCTGGAGCCTCTTCCGCGGGGGCAGGAGCTGGCGGCCCTGCAGGCATGCTGGAAGGAATGGCCAATCCCGCCCAGATGGCACAGATGATTCAAAGTATGAGTCCTGCAGAACTCAACCAAATGGCTGCCATGATGGGTCTCTCGGCTGACCAACTTCGGCAGACGGCTCAAATGCTAGGACAAATCCCACCCGAACAACTACAACAGTATATGATGCAGGCCATGGGTGGTGGCGGCATGGGCGACATGGCAGGCCTCATGGGCGCTGCTGGAGCTGGTGAGGGTGGACCCCAAGTGCTGCGGTTGAATGAAGAAGAAATGGCAGCTGTGAACCGCCTCACCGAAATGGGATTTGATCGTGCCGAAGCAGCCCAAGCATTTCTCGCCTGTGACAAAAACGAAGCACTGGCTGCCAACTTGTTGATGGATGGAGGCTTTGGATTTGGGGGCGATAGTGGTGCGGGTTCCGGTGGAAGCAACGGTAACAGCAACAACAATGGAGGAAGTGGCGACAATGACGACGATGCCATGTATGATTAGGCAAGGGTCGATCGAAAAACAGCAAATCAATTTCACCTATCAACAATTCATCTTGCGCTTCGATTTGAGCTTGGAACGAGAGCTTGACCGCGTCGTCTCGTCTGGTTGGTAAACTAGCTCTTTGCTACCGGCCTTCGATGTGGCTTTTGAGACCTATAGTTCTGCCACTGCCTTTTTTGCTTGGTCGTGACCTACTTTATTGAATTTCACCCACCCACAATAACTAATAAACTCTTATAAATAGCTTGCTTGTCTCCGCATCGGTGAATTAACTGTTCCAACTCAACAAGAACTGCAAAGAAGGACCCATGAGTCACACTGTCAACACGATGGGCGCACAAAACGATGACAATTAGAGTTACTCGATGATCCTCGTGGGCTTGTAATTTTTCTTTTGACTTGGAAACAAACCCGAGTGAACGATGAATCAGAAATCCAGAACCACTAATGGTACGTTGAAGTCACAGCATCCTTATGCAGGCAAAGGAATTCACGCACTACTCGCGAATATCTAGCTAGGTACCGGAGAATGGAAAATTCGTACGATCTCCTCGAAGTCGCCACCGATTATGCGTACAATGGCGCAAGAACAAATATCGTTCAGTTGCAATAGTGCTGGCAAGTAGGATCGGAGAGTCCGCATCGCTGTAGAGATCTCATGATCACAACGGAAACCGAAAAGATTCCTCTAAAGTTGTATATTTTAATTAAAACGTATCGAATCAACGAAAGCTGGCGGTGAAAGGAGGTAGCTCCCTTCTTGCTCAGCCAGTACCGGCTCTGCGAATAGTAATTCCCCAAGTCTCTTATGTCTGTCCGAATCTCTGAATGAATATGCTGGACTCCCAGATCCTTCAGGATGGCTAAGGGAAAACATCTTCGAGCTTTCCCAAAGCTAGCAAAGTCAACCAGGTGATGCCCACAAGGATGCTGAGAGACGCTGACATGCACTCGATCTGGAACTCTCTTCCTCTCGAACCATGACTGACAATTTTGGAGCTGCAAGCTCCGTAGGCGGTAGCAAAACAGCCCATAGTAAGAGTAGAGCTGATGCAGAAGCAGCTCAGATAAACCGCAGCCAATTTCCAGTTTTGCAGCTGAACAGCGGGGATAACACCGAGGACTCCACCAGGTCCAGCAAGCCCATGGACAATGCCTGCTAGGAACGCAATAGTTTTGGCTGATAATCTCGATGTTCCTTCGTGGATAAGCCGTCGGCATCTGGATGGTGAGACTGTATCCATATAAGCCTGTTCCACAACCACGGCTTCTTCCATTTCTGAATCGTCGCTGGAAAGTGCCATAATCGCACTGCCTCCCTGACCTTCCAACTGTCGAAATACCGGAGGTGGTATACACACTGGACCATCATCGCCATCAAACTGAATTTCTAACGACGATGCGGAATCGCCAAGGGGGTCGCCGTCGTCTGCTGAGCCTTCCCCGTGATTATTCACTTCCGCGTCCTCGGAATCAATTTTAAAAAGCCCATCATTTCCAACTTGTCGCAGTTCTTTTTCTCCGTTACTCACTCTCAATTTTCCCGGACTATGTTGATTGTCAATGGCATCATAGTGAGTTGCAGGGCGCTTCAACCAAGCCTTCCTTATCCCGTAGACTCCCAGCAAGAGCATAAAAACTCCGACAATGGATTCGAAAAAGTGGGTAGCAGCATCGGGCATGTCAACGGTATCTTGACCGGCTTGACTGAGTATTATCAATACAGTCCCCACCAGAAGAAGGCCTGACGAGTGCCCGATACCCCATCGAACGCCTAGCAATGCCGCGTCTAGGTGGTTGCCGACATTGGCGCTTAGAGTTGCCAATGCCGATAGGTGATCTGGGCCTGTGAGGACATGGATGAAGCCCAGAGCAACCCCAGTTCCAATCAGATAACCAATGTCGTCTTTTACCATCCTCTTTGTTTGCTCTCTTGTGTCGAAAGGCACCGCCTCGATATACTAGCTGGCTAGCTAGCTAGTAGAAGTTCTTGGTGTCGAAACTCGTGTGCTGTTCGGTATTCTGCGATGTGAGATGATGGGCGCCAACAGCAAGTGCTGCCGGTTGCTAGCTAGAGCTAGTACACTGTAGTGAAGGTTGGAGGCATCCTCGTGACTCAATTCTAAATATCCTTCCGGAAAAGTATTCATGTTTCGACATCCGTGATTGCTTCTGCCCTAGCCCAGGACTCGTGACTCTAGCTAGTAGATGGTACGGTAGATGTTTGGATGGCAGGTTTGTGAGAAAACACCAGACTCTTCTCCGGCACTAGCTAGCTAGCTAGTGGAGATCAAAGTACTACATAACTAGCTAGAACTACAGTTCACAAACCCAAACATAGCTGCTCTCACATTCCATACGTGCCAGCCACTGATGCCAGATTGTTCTCTGGTTTTTGGAGCTCTTCCAAAAAGAACGGGTTGCTCGCTTCAAAGCTGGTTGGCCTGAATGGCTTCATCCTGTTGATCATACATGTCAGGATCATAAAGAAACAAGTATGATCGATTCTTGTACTCAATCCTGTTCACAGGATGAAAGGGCTTTACATTGTTCTTTCCTGCCACGAAGTTGCAAAGGTCTGCTGACAATGTTTGACAATTTCGTTTGAGTTCATTGTAGGATACATCTCTGCGCATGTAGTTGACCAAATACTGAGCAATGTCCTTCTTGGACCGGTATGTAAGGCGAGCTGGGTGTGAAAATGGGTACTGAGCATCCCAAAAGCGTTTGTCGCGTGATTCATACTTGGTCATGTATCCTTTGAACTCATCGAACGTTTTTGACTCCACATCAAAAGCTCGGATCTCTGCAGCATTGGTCAACCAAGGGCACACCATCTCGGGTGGAAAACACTTGTACATTTGAGTCACTGGATCGTCCATGTCATCGTAAAAGTTGCACTTTCCTCTGTTGTGGCCATTACAGACACATGGAATCGAATCAAATCACAAGGACACATGAGACCAATTCATTCGTTCACATCGCACTCCCAAAGCAGAATGTATCACATACCTCCAGCCTGCCAATCCGTTGAGCCAAGCTGCTTCAATGACAGTGCTAGGAGATGAAGAAAAAAGGATATGTACGTTATAAGCACACGACACAGTGAATGTAGAGATGAGAATTTGTTTTACTTACCAATATTCTTGGTGATTCCATTCCAACAGAACACAGCTGGAAGCATCAAGCATCATAATGTAGCCGTGAGTCAGTGGAGTGAACAGGGGTTCGTTCTCTCCTTTTCCCTGCAGTTTATTCATTCCTTCTCACCTGTGATACGTCAGTTTATCCTTTGCATTCTCCTTGACACGAGCATACATGTGGGCCACCATGTGCACATTTGTACAGATAGCGTTTGGATCCATTTGATCAATCATCTGGGTTCCGTAGGTCAGGGTTGGTTCTGGTCTCAGCTGTGCCTGATACCAAAAGGCGAATCCAGGGCTCTTCCTGGACCAACCCTTACTAGTATATCCAGGTCCACGGAGAGTGAGACGAAAGATAAGCCCACTTTCCGTTATGGTTGGATCCAGTCTTTGCTTTCCTTCGACTTCCGCTTGCCAGATGGGTACCCATACTCGCTGTCCTTTGATGATTTCGGATGGTCTTACAAATTCCTTGTTGCGCTTGCGTTCTATTTTGACCACCTCAAAGGTCTGGAGTGAAGGCCATCCATTCAAAACTCCATGAAAGATAAACCGTGGATCATCGGGTCCTTCCACCCGAGTCAACGACGAATAAAAGTCTGTGGCAAGGATGGGTAGATTGGCACGTCGAGGTTTGATGGTCTTCGTTTCCAGGTTAAAGTCTCTTGGATTGAGACCCTTTTTGAGGTTTCCATCTTCATGAAAAGGGTCGCCATTGATGAGCATGACATGCCATTGGAGACCACCAGCACCTGAAGGGATTCGTTTTTCGGCTTCTTCGACGCTAAGCGGGTGCCCATAGGCTGATTCTGTGGACAAGCTCGCTCGGGCGTTTTCCGAGAGTCCATCTTTGGTTTCATCATCGGGATTGGCTGCAAAGGCAATCTGAGACAAGGATTGCGACAAGGCACGCTCGATCTTTTCCGGCAACGGAGCAGGCAGATCTGGAAGTGCATCGAGAGACTTCATGAGCTCCTTGATATCCCCCTTGTCAGCGTCATCCTCATCGTCATCAAAGAGATCAAAATAGCTTTCGTCGGTCGCAGTCGATGCCGCCGCATCGTCTTTGTTGGTCGATGACATGATCTTGGCAAACATGCTCCTAGCTCGGAGCTAGCTTGAGAGTTGAACTATAGTATTAGCTGAGGAGACATGAAGGTAGGAACTACTGGGTATGCAATTAGAAGGTACGCTGTAGATCTATCTTTGAAATCTTTGATGGCTTTTGTTAGGGTTACTCGGCATTTTGTCTATTTAAGGCTATTGTATCTGATTCAGGGTGTGAGAACCAGATAGATTTTTAACTGGTTAGGTTATAGGTTACAGCAACCAGATAGAATTTTCTATCTGGTTTGGTTATAGGTTACCAACCAGATACAGTAATTCTATCAGGTTAGGTTACAGGTTAGGTTATAGGTTACATAAATGGTTACGAAACTACCTATCTGGTTACCAAACATGACCTGCCCAAGCTGGCTGCCTAATCATCCTGGCGGGCCTCCTCCAACGCCTTCATGGCCTCCAACACTCCCAACTCCAGCATATCCTGAAAGGCTGGGGAAATCTCTTCTTCGGGTTTCTTCTTAGCAATTCTCTCCAACAGGTCTGTAGTCCGACGTTTGGCTTTATCCAGCTGATCCTTCCGCAAGTGGAAGCGGTGTTCATCCATGAACTTGGAATTCTTGTAGGTCAGGACCTTCATTTGGAAAGTAATGTCATGCTGGAGCTGCTTGAGAATCCCATCCATCCATGTAGCGGCACTGAAAGTCCGCTCTTGGTGCCCATTGCTCTCTGGGACGGCAAGAATACAGATTGCCACGGGATAGATAAGAGGGAAAGCACTCTTCCCATGTGTCTCCCACCACTCCAACAAGTCAAAATGCTTGGCCACCAGCTCCACATTCTCCACCCATTCTATCTTGTTCGTGCCAATCGTGCTGATAATTGGGAGCGGGACGTGTCTCTTCTGTTTTGTCAAGATTGCCACCAGCTTGAAGTCTTGATCGAACCACGCGTCAATGGTGGCAGCCACCCGATCAACCCCTTCTTCTTGTGGGGCTTCCTGTTCAGGCTCCGCACTCATCTGCAGACGCCTCCTTTTCTCTGCCTTGGTGAGCAATGGATCGTCAGCATTGAACGTTACTGCCCTCTCCTCAGCAGCACGTTGCTGTGGTCTCTTTAGAAGCTCGCTGCAGACGTCCTTGATCGCATCTTTCAAGTATCGCTTGGCGAGAGTATCAACATTGCACGCAAGTCCCCCCAACTCCCCGTCTACCTCTTCAACATCCTTGGAGAGAGCAAGTAGCTCTGGTATCAAGAACTTGGTGGCAAATGGGTTGACGGACATACCCAGTATGCGGCTCTTGTTGTTGTGTCTTGCCATGTTGGCCCCGTACTCCCCCAGGTTATCAACGAGGCGATCAATCAACTTTTTGGGAATAGCATCAAGGTCTGCTTTCTTGATCCGCGTCATACCAATCCTGTTCATTGCGCCGGGAACATAGCAGAGCAATGTTTCCCCCTCTCCCTCAACAGTTGGCCTGGGACAAGTGGGTGTGCCGTCGAACTTCTGCCTTGGAAAGTGTGCATTGCCGTCCCATTTACCTTCCCTGTCCGGAGTCTCACTGCGTCTTGTTTCTGGCACCCAGTAATGGTCTGCTGTAACATAGTGGGAAAACACTCGGTAAATGAAAAAGGGAGCGTAAGAAATAGTTCCATTTCCATTGGTTTGAGTCTGCATAAGGATAACTCTCATAGCATACAAGACAGCATACAGTTGAGCAATCATCCAAAACTGGTTGTCGTCCAATTCCAAAGCCTTCTGGTTCTTGTTGTAGTAGTGCTTGTAATTCCAACGACTCCGAATCATGCCGGCATAGTGCAGCATTACGCCTGCGGACCGGGTATGATTGGGCACAAGTACCATCACCGCGTGCCGCCCGACCTTCTTGAGCTCTTTCACGAAATCAATCCATCTTCCTCTTGACTTCTTACTCTGTATCCATCCGGCGGCAGCCTCGGAATACTTCCTGACTTGCTCGCAGGCCTTAAAAGAATCGCTAACCTTCTTGTCTTTGTATCGCTTGCGTCTCCCAATCGAATGCTCAACCACTAACTGCATTTGGTGCATGACGCAGTATCCATTCTCACCGGACAGGATTCGACCAACCATCAAAGCAACATTGGTCGTATCGTTCATGGCATGGTAGATCATACGCCCACTAACCCCAAAGCCTGCCAAGATTTCGGAGATCTGATCGGCAGTTTCAGGGCCATGCTTGTCATCACAAAGAGTCAGAGAAACAGGAATGACAAACACCTTTCCCCGAATTGGATTGTAAAAACAGATCGTCACTCCAAGGATTTCCTTTCTGTTGGACTCACATACATCATGGGAGCACGTTACGAAACCGACGTCCTTGCCCGTCAACTTCTTCAGGTACTCGTCAGTCTCCGTGATGTACATGTTCACCGCAGCAGCAAGCACGATAAAGGCTTTGCGGCGGTGAGTAGCAAGAGCCTGTCTTCCCATGAGTCCATAGTTGGGTAGCTGGTTGATTTGATTTGCATGCTTGACACAATACCCAATCAAGTCCATCCATTCAGGACACTGCGTGTGATTGGTGACAATCCGTTCTGGAAGGTTGTTATTCGTGTAGAACCGATACTGTTTGTCCTTCCACTGCTTCTCAACAACAGCAAGACAACAGCTTTGAAGATTCATACAAGACGTTCACCTGAGATGGAGGATCCCGGTAATTGCAGTACCGGCGGTGGAGGGTGAGAAAACAGCAGTCGGGCGTGGACGTGTTGCACGACCAACATCATCACCAAAGTTGCCAGTAGCGTGGCCTTCTTCGTATTTGTAGTTGTGTTTCAATGCTTTCATCGCCTCCCAGACTTCCGCATGCTTAGCCTGGACATGGGTTGTCATATTGCCGTTACCATTCAGGGCGTACGGTGGGCCACCAGTCCTCTTGTAGGACGGCTTCACCAGGGAGCAGTACAAGCTGACTGCACGATCATCATAGCACAGGAGACAAACACAATATGGTTTCTTTTCTGTCTCTGCATCATCCAACGTTTCGAAAGCTTTGAAGTCCAGTCTTCTCAATTCCTCCAAGTCCTTCTGCTGTCGGATGTGGGCAAACTTCATCACTTCCCAAACTGCAGCTTGCTTCTGGAATTCTTGCGCCTGGTGTTCACCTTGTCCTTCGTGTCAATCAGACCTTTTGCTCGTGCGTAGAGAGACGTCAGGTTCATTTCTCCCCCTTCATCGTCCTCCTCCTGGGATCCTGCCGCTGCAGCCGGCTCTTCAGCAACCGGCTCATTTTCGACTTCGGATTCTCTTCTTCACATTCTCGACTTCGGGATTCTCTTCTTCAGCATTCTCGTCTTCGGCATTCTCTTCTTCAGCATTCTCGACTTCGGCATTCTCGACTTCTCCGTCATCGACTTCTCCGTCATCTTCGTCTTCGGAGTCAGACTCGGACTCAGGCTGGTCCTTCAATGCTCGTCCAGCTTTCCTTCGAGCAATCCGGAGCCGTCGTCGTTGTGGCTCTTTTCTCTTCTTCATCGTCAGAATCGTCTTCCTCGGAGGATGAATGTTCGTCACGAGCTGAGAGCGGAATCATCCCGGAATTTCGCGAGATATGATCTGCGAATTCTTCAAGACCATGGGCTTCACGCCTTCCTTCATCAGAGAATTGGGCAACATCATACAGCTCGTCCTCAATAATGCCTCCAGCATTGTCTTCTTCTTCCATGATAGGCAATAGGCAATGCAATAGGCAATGCAATAGGCAATGCAATAGGCAATGCAATGGGAAACCAATGCAATAGGCAATGCAATGGGAAACCGTAACCAGGTAGATCGGCGGATAACCAGATACGTAACCAGATAGGTCGTTGCGAAGAACCAGATAGGTAACCAGATATGTAACCAAAACCAGGTAGATTTGGGCATAGGTTCCCTATCAGGTTCCTCTTTGAGAATTTATGAGGGAATGAGGAACAAAAAACGGCTTCGCTCAACCAGATACGTTCCGAGTAACCAGATACGTAACCAGTTAGATAACCGTATATGTAACCGGTTACGTTCCGAATAACCAGGTAGGTAACCTATAACCTAACCACATCCGGAACCAATTACAGATCGTAAAAGGTTAGGTTATAGGTTACCAACCAGATAGCGAAAATCTATCTGGTTACAGGTTATCGGTTACGTAAATGGTTAAAAGACTCAACCAGATAGCCGTAACCGTAGGTTGACCACCGTTGGTTCGCACACCCTGATCTGATTACAGAGTTGCCTAAATGTTCGATGCTCCTTTGAAAAAGTGGCTTATGTCTCACAATGTCTACGGATGTCTCACAATGTCTACAAATGTCTCACAATGTCTACAGATGTCTACCAATGTATCACTTTGTCTACTAATGTCTACTAATGTCTCACTTTGTCTAGATAGTACAGTAAAACAGTACAAAATGTCTCACTTTGTCTACCAATGTCTACCAATGTATCACTTTGTCTACTAATGTCTCCTAAAGTCGCACAATGTCTACTTTGTCTACTTACCTGGTATGTTTACTAACGGTATGTAGACATTTACATAAGGATCACTTAAGGTGGTCGCCCACGGGCTTTAAGCCAGCTTTAGTTTGCTAGGTTTTTTCATTTGTTTCGCACATATGTTTCGTATAAATTAGGGAATACGGAATCTTCAAGGAGCTTCGGCTAGACTGATTTGTTCGAGCCATAATTAATATGAAAAGCCTCTAAGTAATACCGACGAAACGGGTACCCAACGAGTACTCGCACGCCGGTCGACCTTGGTATAACAGAGAGTTGACCTTATATAAGACTCATTTTTCAGCTGGCCGGTGAATCCAGTGAAATCCGTTATAGTAAAAGAGTACTCTAACACGTTTCCAGTGAAAAATTGAGTTCGGACGTTTGGAAAAGTGAGATTCCGTTCGAAAATCGAATAAACCAACAACAACAACAGTTCGATCAACCGACTGTTGCTGTTGGCGACCGCATTATCTCGATGCCTGCTGCTTCTGAGGGCATAAAACCTTCTACTGGCTTCTTCTTTTGACTATAAGGAAGAGAGTAGGCCCTGGTCTTATGCCCATCCTTGCAGCAGTCATCGAGATCTAACGGCTTCAAACAGCGATCGAACATTTCGTCGCTCGCTGCTGCACTCCCATAGAAAGTTAACAGGGCGATCCAATATACGGCAAAGCTCGCCTCCTATCCCTTGCCAACACTATTAGCAAGCTCTCCTGTATGCACAATAGTCGGATCCATGGGCGCAACAGCGATTCCAGCACACCTTTAGCAGCAGCAATTGATCATCGAGTTTCACTCGATAGCTCGTGTAAAATAAATAAATAATTAAAAATATTTCAACAGTTTCGCGCTGGCTTAAGATTTGTGGGCGACCACCTTAATCGCCAAAACACTTTCCCAAACAGACAAAATGCCGAGTAACCCAGGGACGAACTGTGTCAACACTGTCAAGCCACGGAAGTGTCAAAGATTGGAAAAGATCCAACCAATTTTCCGTCAGCAGCCTCCCAGTGGGATCACTGTACCGGTGCAGTTGCTTCTCGTCATTGAGGTACTAATCATTGCCCCCACAAACTCTACTACTACTAGTGGTCTAGCTAGGCTGAACACAAGACGATAGTGTCTCCACCCTGACTTGCTCTGCTCGCAAATGATTCAGGGCCACGGATGAGGAGAAAGCGACACATTTGAAAAATTAAAGCAAGCTATTTAGAATAGCAAGGAACGAGATCCCAAAATTCTGGTTGATCCATCATGGAGCGAACAAAGCATAGATCAACCAATACTAGTAGCATCCTCTGAATACCTTTGAACAAAACTACCGGTAGTACATGTTGACTTGCACATGAAAAGACAATCGCATCCATCGCAGCTACTAGGTGCTGCGCACACTGAAAGATACCGGTAATTGCACCCATCAAAGCCAGCAGATGCCGCGCAAGGAACACCAATAGCTACGGTAGCATAGCTGTCTCCCAAGGCCTCGAAGTTTCCGTCGCTTCACCCCAGTCGACTAAAGGCGATGGCGACATTGACAGCCAGAAGCCATCGTTGGCTGGAGTTCAAAACTCAGCGGCTTCCGTTCGTATCCACTCCTCCACCACATCAACGAGAAACAGCATACCGAGACCGCTTTGCATTGGTTACATGTGTTATGTTTGCTTCTTCCAAAACAAAGTGGGTAGCCCAGATCCAATGGGAACTGGCATACCCATGATGATGCATTCACTGACGCCTTCCACTCGGTCTGTTCGAGCTCGAACTGCTGCATCGAACAAGTGGTCTGTGGTCTTTTCGAAAGACGCCAACATCAATACAGACTCTCTCATTTTGGATACTCCAAAACGAGTGATACCAAGCACCTCTCCCTTGAACGTCATGACATCCGACAGGAGCAGCAAGTGGCGGGAATCGATTCCGATTCCGTACGCAGACTGAAAAAGATTGATTGGTTAGTCTCACCAGTCAGTTCCCCGCGCCTTCAAAGTGACAGCCGTCACGTCTTTCAGAGCGAAGCAGCTTACCATAATGTAAGAGATCTCGGAAGAAATTTGCGTACGGGCAGCTTCCACGCCCAAGACCTCCTCCACTTCCAAGACATGGTTGGTACACGTGTGCCTTCCGTCTATTCCAGGAGAACCCATTACATCTTGAAGTCCGTATCCTTCTACAAGTAGATTGTAGGTGGACTTGCCATCTTTATCAGTCTCGTTGATGACAGCACGACCGACTGACAGCAAAGAGGTTGCTTGAGAAATCCGGCAAAAGATCCGTGCAGCACCGAAACAGCAGCTTCCTGCACTTACCTGTGGGGATTCCTTGAACAATCACGCCCGGGAGTGCAGTTTTGAGCATTTGCATTGCAAAGTATGTTAACGAAGTCGTTTTGCCCATTTTAACGTCCGGCACCATTACGCGTAGCTTTGAATTGGAGCCCTTTTTGATGAGCACTTGATCCTCTTTCAGGCACCGCAGAACGGGCTGCTTGGTGACCCCCCGTGCCCCCTTGAGGATGGCAGTCCGCACTGTGCTGGCATCGACGTTCAGCTTCAGTTGCTCAATCGCCACCATGTCTAACTCAATACTCACATAGCAGCAGTTTGGTGAATAGACCTCTTTCATGTACTTGGACACCTCGCCGAGAGTCGTCTTCTCGATTCCGGCCTTCACGACTCGTGCTGCTACCTTGTTGTTGTCTTGTTCCAACTTGGCAGTAATGATTGGGGTCGAAATTTTCTTCGCGCCGTTGATGATTTCTTTCAAGCGGGGAACACCAAGAGTTACATTCATCGAACTGATCCCGGAGAAGTGAAAGGTTTTAAGGGTCATCTGAGTGCCTGGTTCTGAAATACTCTGAGCCCCGATTGCGCCCACGGCGTCTCCTGGCTCCACAAAAGCCTTAGTGCACTTCTCCACCGCCGCCTGCAGTATAAGCTCAGCTTGGGTCTTTGTTATGCGGCAGTCGTTCCAGAAGGCTTTGTCATAGAATTCAGGCTTGATTTTGCTGTCTGGTCCTATTAGCTGATGTTGCTTGTCCACAATCCCAGCGAAGAAGTCTCGAACCTCTTGAAGAAACACCTTTCCTGTTGGCAACAGCTGCTGGAAGTCTTTCTTCAGCAACCTCTCCTCAACCACACCAATGAGATCTTGACCCATTAATGCCTTCTCGTCTCTGCACGGCGACGTTTCTCGGATTTGCATACGGAGGCGATCAAAGTCGACAGGTCTATCGTTATTCTCCATCTTGTCTGGGTTCAGACCGTCATCGCCATACGTGAATTGTACCACGGTGTTTTCACTATTTCGAACGGAAGAATCGTATTGCATAGATAAATCCTCCAGAGCCTAATGATAATGAGTAGTGTGAGCCACAAGACTAAAGATGGAAGGCCATAAAGCGCTTGTTCAACGCACCTTCATAAGACGACGGGCCATGTATCCAGTTTCAGCCGTTTTGACGGCGGTATCGACCAAACCTTTACATCAGCGCAGCAAATTGAGAAAGGAATTTACAACACAACTGGGGAAGTAGACATGGTAAAGCTTACCTTCCCGTCCACCCACTGTCGTACAATACGTGTTTTTGTTTTTCGAGCAAGAATGAGCATGGATGAGCTGTTGCTACTCTCGGCGGTCGGTTTGGAGCACCATCGTCAACTGCAAGATGCTTACTGGCGTGGAAGAAGAATTCAGTAGCTGACAATCCAGTGAAGAAAGAGTTGGCCACGAAGCCCTTCGCGGAGGGGGATAGACTGTGAACTTCGAATTGCGGGAGCGTTCGATTCGCGAAGCTGGGCATAGGACAAGCGTGAGGATGGCAAAGTTTCAGGTCACACTCAGAGCCTCCACAAGCTTCTGCTCGTACCCATTCGCGATACGCATTCCGCCGACGGCCTGCTGTCCAACACAGGCAGCCATCTGTGAGATGTTCAGCGGACTACCTTTCGAACCGCAGTCTGCCATGATACGGGGCGTGTTCGACCAGGGTAATGCCTTCATGGCCTCCTGACCAGCAGATTCTCTTAGTCGGCCAAGCAGTCCATTCAAGATTTCTTCGAGTGATTGCAGCAAGTCGCAGCCTGGACGCAATTCAAGTGCCCCTTTTTCGTACAGAGCTATGTTGTGGTCAGCCTGTTGTGTGGGCTTCAAATGTTAGCCGAAAACATGGGAGGACTGTGACAGACAGCAACGACGCAAGCAACAATACCTTCTTGAAACCTTCTTTCAGAATGTCATGCTTCAGCTTTCGAAGGATTTCTGATGGAGTGACATCTGATATCCCAATGGAAAAGCCTCTGTGACCGCCCATCCATCGACTACAAAGTCTGGACCAACGATCCATGATCCTAGCTGCCTGCTTTGGACCAAACTCACGAAGCATTACGAAAAGCAAACCTGTCTTGCTGCCATCACCGATCGTCTTTTTGGCAATGTTACCACTGATAAGCTCACTGTTGCGAAAGGCAACCCATCCATCGTTGCGACAGAAATGCTTGTTCTTTGTATAATTCTTGTCTTTGCATTCGAAATTCACCAGCACTTTGCATTCCTTGTTCGGTCTCACGACATGCCCAAAGATCTGCTTCCCGGTCCACAATTCGATCGGCTTGATGATAGTGGGAAATGGGAAATCGATTGCCTCGTCAGCATCTCCGAGGTACGAAACGATTTGACAGAACTGATGCCTTGTAAAGAACCTGTCCTTCTGAGTAAGAAGATAAGAAGCTGACAAGAAATCCTGACTGGCAGCTACGAGAGGCTCTCCGTTTCGCGGCGTTGTGAGGTTGTTGACGACTCCCAGCAGCAGCAAAGCTTCTGACCGCGCTTCTTCCGTTTGGGGCAAATGCATCTGGATTGAGATAGAGACAGAAAGGTACAGCAAGTTGAGCTTGAATAGTCAAGTAAACAGCTTGGCCAATGATGGAATCAACGGAGAATGTCTTACGTTCATTTCATCCCCATCAAAATCAGCATTGTAGGGAGCACAAACGCAAATGTTGAATCGAAAGGTCCGCCATTCCAAGACCTTGGCTCTGTGAGCCATGATGGAATTCCTGTGAAGCGAAGGTTGTCGATTGAAGAGCACAGCATCACCGTCTTCCATGTGCCGTTCCACGATGTCGCCAAACCTTAGGTTCTTTGCCGCCTTATCTCTGTCTCCAAATGCCAGAGACTTGGCGAAGCCATCTTGCATTCGAATCAAGTTGGCCCCGGGATGAACGTTGGGACCGTTTTTGATCCGCTCTTTCAATTTCTTAATATTGTAGCGTGACACCGTTTCTACCAGGATCCGTCAGAGTTCCATGACGACGTGTTGCGGCATGAGGCGGTGTAGAATACATACATGTAATGAGCGACAGCAACATGCGCAAGGAATCGTGCGTTGACATGGCAGAAAACTCACCAGGATACGTCATAATCATTGCGACTCGCATGGGCACACCAACTTGCTCCACCGACAGGTTCGGATCAGGAGAAATCACGGTTCTTGCGGAAAAATCCACTCGTTTCCCCGACAAGTTCCCTCGAAAGCGACCTTGCTTTCCTTTGAGTCTCTGGCAAAGCCCACGCATGGGCTTGGCCCCAATCGGCCGCTGTACACCGGGGAGCTCCCCATTGATGTATCCCGCTACTTGCATTTGCAAAAAGTCCCACTCTTCCATGATGGTACGGGTGTGTGGTCCCTTGGTGAGCGCAATTTCCAGAGCGACGTTGATGTCTACAGAATAGTAGCCATCAGCGTCAAGTTAGCAACATACAGGGATAATCGCGGGGCAGTGGGATTCGTGAACCACCAACTCACCAATAATCTCTTGCAACTTTACAGTCAAGTCGTCTTCATTGCTTCCACCACCGACATCCATAGCCACCGAAGGTCGAATGGGGACTGGTGGCACCAGCAAGTTTTGCAGAACGAGATTCTCGGGTCGCCCAATCAAGGGATCAATCCACATGACCTCACAATCATCGTCTGTAATAGCTGAAAAGAGTTCCAGCACTCTCGTAGGAAGCAAATCTTCAAAAGGCGGATTGGTTTCTTTATGAATGATGGGTTCAATGTCTTTATTCAATCGCATTGCGTTCTCCAACTCGCTCTCCAGTTCTTCCAACTCATCTTCCGAATGCCGTCCCTTGAACCGTTCATGCACAATTTTGAGAGTGGGAGCTCCAGTAATCTTTTTGACCGTCCCATTGAGGGCGGCACAATAAGGACAATTTCGGCACTTTTTGCACTTGTCCACTACTTTTTTGAAGGTGGCACTTTTCCCCAGTATATCGGTTCTTGGACTCCTCATGCGACGCAAAAAGGCGGATCGATCAGCTTCCGTGAGAAGCACTCTGGAACACGTCTTGCAAATGCACTGTAATAGGTACAAAGTGTGTCGAAGGAACCCGATATGAAAGACTGGCAACGCCAATCGAATATACCCGTAGTGGCCGGCACAATCGACCAACTTTTTCTGGCAGGTGGCACAGGTAGAGACCTTATCGGATACCCCTAATCGAGGATCCAAGCAACCGCCGGGAGCGGGAGTTCTGGCAGGCATGGTGAAGAGTTCTCGAGAACAAACTTGGAATTCCGACACCCGCTGCATTTCGTCAGCCGATAAGAGCCCAAACTGCAAGTGGGAGATCTTCTTGGGGCCCAAATCACCTCGCAGTAGATCCTTTCGTCGAGATGACAAGGGAACATCATCGTCGTCTTCTTGTCCAAAGAAACCCATGGTTGCTTGTAGTGAGAATTATCAAGTCAAATCTGATGCTACCAAAGGCTGCTTCTATTGTTCTTTGAGAAGTGCACTCTGTCAGCAACGTTATAACAGAAATATTCTCAAGCTCTTGGGACTTGTTCCATTCATTGGTTGTTGTGGTGGGCGTGTTTTTTGTGGTTAGTAGCATGATGTTCCTAAATTATAATTTTTGCCGTGCCCTCTTCAGGTTTGGGTTGAACAGCTCAACAAGCTTAAAATGCTGTGGACCCGTAAAGTCAACCTTGCTGACACTTACTTTTCACAGGCCTTTGACCGACCATGGCATCATGGCAACCTCCCCAGACGCCAACACTACTAATGAGGTGGATCAGCAGTATGTCTACCTGGAAATAGAGGGTGCCAACCTGACAAAGAATGTGACAGGACTGGGCTTTGGCCACATGCATCCCTTTGTGCAGTTGGAATTGACTCCAATCGATGACGATGATGTTACCTCCTCTGTGGCACTTTCCAATTGCACTGGCACCCATTGGGACGCCCACTGTCATCCCAGCTGGTCTCATTCTTGCCCTGCCATTCCTCTCAGTGATGCCTGGGCCATGTCGTTCAAGTTTACAGTCTACAACGACAATGAGCTACATCGCTATGCCATGATTGGAGTCCCCAATGCCGTCGGAAACACAGGGGCGCTACCAGCAGGACTGTCGGGAATTCTGACCAAAGTCACTGGAGCCAAAAAGATTGGCCAAGTGGCTATATCCATGGACAATCTGATCCAAGAATCCGAAAAGGGAGGCCTGCTTCAAATGGAACTTCAAAGTGATCGGGGAGCCATTGCAGGCACTTTGCAGGTCAAGGCTCACGTTAAAAAAATGAAGAGATCTTCGACCAGTATCATGGGCAGTGCACTTGATTTAACTGCCCCAAGCACTGGAACGGCAGTCAACAACAACAGCAATAAAGTGGACCAATCTTGGTTTGTATCGCCCGTGATTCCATTGACGACGTCGGGTGGTACGGCTGCTTTCTTCCAGCTCACACTGACCCAAGAAGGAATGGATGCAACCAAACAAAACACTCCTAGTTTCTATGTTGGCAAGGATTTGAGCCATGCCCAGGACGAAAAGGATTTTTATCAACAACTCCTAGAAATCAAACAAAGCATGAAAGATGATGATGATGAGGATATTGAAGATGTTGGCCAGCTGGTCCCTTTCATGTTTGATTATCTGGGCATTTTGGAAGCCGTTTCAGCAACAACAACTAGCACTGGTGAAGGAGGGAAGCAGCAACAACATCAAGTCCTGGTCCTTCAAAATTTACGCAATAACTTCCAGAGCTTTAGAATGCTCGACTTGAAGATTGGCGAAGTCACTGCCCAAGCCGGGTGGAAAGGCAAATCTCGTCTTCATGCTCTCAAGTGCCACTTGCTGAATGATCACTTTACAAACTCCGTGTCAGAAGGTTATCGCCTGGCTGGATTTGATGGCACCAATGAGATGTTTGACAGCATGGATCCGTTGATGGATTTTTTGGCAGGTGATGCGGCATCTGCAGAGGAAAAGAAGACCATTTGGGGTGGCCACTTTGACGAAGCACAAGTCAAAAAAGCCAAACGCTTAATGATCAATACACTTAGCGGAACAGACGTTTTGCGCTTTTTCCTCGATGTGCACACGGACAAAGCATTTGCCTCTGACGACAACAATAATAACATGAACGAGTATTTGCTGCCTGTGGAAATGGTCGAGATGGCCTTTCGGGAAATGGTATCTCGATTGGTGCAAGTGGCCGCGGCATGTCATCACGTGCAAGTCCCGCAGAAATGGATCGGGAGTTCAGTAGCACTGGGATATGATGCCGGACTCTTGCCCAAGCGTTCTCCGGAGGCCGAAGAAGCAATTTGTTCCAAGGTTTTTGTTTATTTGTTTGATTGGGGTCGGTCAGAACTGCTGACATGTTCCAAATACCACAACTTGACGCCGTCCGAAAAAGCCGACCGACAAAAGTTCTGGACATATTACAAGGCAGGCATTGAGCGTTTGGCATTCCATGCGGCACGAGTCTATTATCACCAATTCACGAATACTGGCAGATGGACCAGACTAACCTTGCAAGTCTTTGACTTCGACAGCACCAAAATCAACGACCATTGTGGCAATGTCACCATAGCATTGCCAGATCCGTACAAGTCTGACGAATCTGCTGCCCTTGATGCTCTTCGAGAAAACCGAGAGTACAAACTCGAGGGTTGCAGCAAAGCCACTGCCCGTGGAAGCACCCTATTTTGCTCCATTACGTGGCTGGAGCTCCCCGCAGACTCACGCATATTGGGACTTTGGCGAGTTGCTATTGACCGAGCCACCAATGTGCCTGTCATGGATGTCACTGGTTCTTCCGATCCATTTTGCCTAGTGATTGCCAGTGAAACTGACGGCGATGGTGGACGTGAGCTTCACCAAAGAACGTGCGTCAAAGCACGCAACCTGAATCCCCAGTGGAACGAAACCATTGATGTTCCCGTGATGAGAGATACGACCCCTGAATCACCGTCGGATATCCACTCTGCAACCTCCCTCCTGTTGTCAGCAATGGCACTGCAAGGGCCCCATTCGCAAGGCCAAATGGCAAGGTTCTTCCAGTGGACTGATGAAGAGAGGAGTTAACTAGCGCAAACCGTTTACTAGCTAGTAGATAGTGACAATGAGTACTGTAGCAAAACTTAAGCTAGCTAGCTGAACTTCAGAGGAAGTGGAACTGTTCTCTGTGCAAGACACCTAAACGAAAGCATCCAATGTTACCTTACCGTCTTGATTGAGACCACGCTCAAACGACACAGCAATGTGTAACAAATGTGCAAACAAACAAACATCTATTTAAGCGGTTATGCATGGATTTCTTCACATTGAGTGCGTGGGTCAGCCCGAAACTCTTCTTTTCTAATTTCTATTTGTATCCATACGCAGTGTATTGTTTTCGAAGGGCACCGGGATTGTCCACGGCGCCATATTGACGAATATGCCGAGCCAGCTGACAAGCTTTTTCCACAGTGGACCAGCTAATCGATGTAGCCCTGGCCGCATCATCTCCTAGCATGGTGGCACACGCGGCTGCCACGGCCGCGGAAGAAATCTCGTCCATTCCATTGCCACGCAACGCCGTGTATGCCGCCGCGGAAGACGAACTTCTCTTGGCGGTGGAAAAGGTAGGTGGTGTGGAAATGACAGTTTCTTTGGTCTTGCAGGAGAGAGGGTCCGTGCCCATTCCAAAGGACTTGGTGTCGTAGAGGTAGTTTACCACAATACTGCCCCCTTCCGGCATGAGTACATGAAAGGAGTCTTGATTGGCGGTAGATTTGGGCAAGACGTTTCCATTGAGCAATGCCAGATGCAAGGACAACTCCATGGTGAGAAATACCACGGGTTGGCCGGGGCTATTATTATTGTTGCGGGGAGACAGATTGCTCAGTACCTCTTTGAGAGTGGGGCTGTACATTTGTGCCGTTTCGAGCGACACCAGAGGTCCCTGTGTATCCCAGGGACTCGGTTGGACTCCCAAATAGGAAATTCCAGCTCTAACTTCGGGGTCTCTCAGAATACCAACACCATCTCCCGTGGCACCGACAAACACATGCAAGATGGGCTCCGTGTTGGAGTACAAACCAATGTTTTCTGTTAGTTTGTCGATGCTGTTGGCATTGAACAGCGAGACGGGTTGTTGGGGCGGAGATCCCCGTTGGTCCGCAGGGATTTGCATCTGTCCCGTCAATACTTGAAAGCAATTCAACGCCAAGGAGGCTCCCATGGCGGCGGGGACTTCGCCCACCACAAACACGGGTCGGACGGGTCGGTATTGCTGCGACGATCGCTGCTGGGGTTGAGACTCCAACGTTGCCGCGAGAGCTGAAGAGCGAGTTTGGTGGTGCTTTACCACAAAGGCAGAGATGCCGTTCGCCCAAACAAGCAGCACGAAAGGTAGCGCAGAGATCCTCATCTTTACGAAGTTTTTAGATAGATGTTCCGGAGCTGGCTATCAATTGTTGGCTATCGATCAATGCAATCAATGAATGACGATCGAAGGGGATTTTATCGGCATTTGCTTTCAGCGACTGTACAGTATTTTGGTACGAAGTATTGTGTCATTGCCATCTGGAAAGCCTTCTGGCCAAAGCAGATGTCGTTAAAAAATGAGGATTGGATGGCTTCGAAAGATCCGAAGATTGTGATTTCAAATAAATTATCCCAACTCTTGCTGGCTTTTAGATTACATCATGTGTGTGTCTGAGCCCTCTCGAGTTGTCACAAACAGGGACACTTCGTCATCGTCTTATTTCCGACCACAAAGCGTTCTATCGTTCTGTCGTTCTACGTGTACATGTATCTGCCACCATCCACCATGAAGAAGCCTTTGTTCATCATCCTGTTGCTACTGCTACTGTCGGTCGAAAGATGTAGTGGATTCTTGAATACAAAGGCATCTCGACCAGCGAGGCGTTCGCCATTGGTGGTAGTGTCATCGTCATCTCCCTACCCCGAGGGTGTGACGCCCCGCCAACTCGTGTCCAAGGGCATGGATGCCTTTCGCAATGGTGACGTGGATGGATCCATAAAACTCTTTGATCAAGCAGATGCAATGATTCCGGATGGATCGCTGACACCCTTCCTCTGGCAACGAGGTCTCAGCTATTACTATGCCGATCAATTTGAGGATGCTTCCAAACAGGTTAGTTAGTTTCATGTTTCATGTAGTTTGTACGGGACCAGCTCGATTGGAGTTGGTTGATTGCAGTTTCCACATGCGGTTTTTGAATTCAAATCTCTGTTCTTGTGGCACAGTTCCGAATAGATGTCAAAGTCAACCCACGAGATGTGGAAGAGATTGTGTGGGATATTGCTAGCGTATCGAGATTGAATCCTTCCGATATCCCGCCCAAAAACAAAATGTCACTCCCAGAAGGAATGACAGACAGGAGAAGAATCATGGTAATAAGCACTGGAGTGAGCTTGCTGTTTTTAACTTTCTTTTTTCAATGATATTCATATTCTGCATTTGCGTTCCTTCTTGTACCTGAACTTCTGTTGCATACAGGGCACTGTCTATTCATTGTTCAGAGGTGAAGCCACAGAGCTTGAGCTGGCTGCGGCAGGTCATCAAGGAAAGTAAGTGCTCACACAAGGAGAAGCTTGGTATCATCTTCAACTCGATGGATTGATGCACATCTCTCACGTCACTTCGCACTGCTGCTGCACACAGTATTGCCGATGAATTCTACGCGCTCTTCTATCTTGGGTTGTTTTGTGAGAGTCGGGGGGAAACGGCAAAGGCAGCAAACTACATGAAACAGGCCGTCAAAACTGACTACGCTACTAACAGAGGGCGCGGTGACTACATGACTTCGTGTGCACGAGTCCACTGCAAGCTGAGAGGTTGGTAGTGTGCATGTAGATACAGTTTCCAATAGTAGGATCTATCTATCTAGTGGCCTTCTGCTAGAGTGCAGTTACTTGTAGATTCGATTCATATCTGCAGAGTTTTACCGTACGGATCCCAGTCGAGCAGCACTACATGTACTGTACTAAACGCTCATAGAGTCCCATTCATGCTCAGCCCTCACTATCCGTGAGATCAAGTAAGTGTTGGACTGCCACCTGTGAGCCACAACAATGTTCATTGTGCCAGCAGGGACACGATAGTGCTTGTTCTACGGCGTGGGGAATCCAGGATGTTACTAATCTCTGAGCGGTACCGGTATTCCCTTCCGAGAAAAGCGTGCAACGTTCAGCTGGCATCCCCATCGCCTCAAGCAGCAAGCCTTCATGTTAAGCTCAGGCTACGTACCGATACAAGTCTACCAGTGTCGATGCGACGTGCACAAATCAACTCTCTCCGGGCATGTTTTCGGTATGAAACGAATGAGACTAGCTCGCTCCAGTCTCATTTTACAAGCCCTGTTTGACCTTCAGTTTAGATTCCAGCCAACGATCCAAGCCACGCCGAGAAAGCTCCGTGACCGGCCGTATTGGGTTGTCTTGTTTGAGATCATGCCGCTCCTGGGCCAACCGGGATAACTCCGTCACTGGTCTCAGGAAAGCTCTCTCATTCCTCTGTTCGTCTTGACGACGAGGTGCAGTAGTGCTAGTGTCTACAGTTGCCACGGGTTGACAAGATGAATGATGGGACTCTAGCTTGTCTGCAACCGACGCAACGGCAATCCCTTGTGGAATAGATGTGCGTGGGTTGACGACAGAGTGGAGCGTTTTGCGTCGAAGGTTCTTCAGACTCGCGCTGGGTAAAGACTTTTCCTGGAAGTGGTTTTGTCTGCTGCCGACAGGAACAACGCACGTGAGGATGACGACGCGGGAGAGGGATAGTTTCAACTCCAGTTGTTTGACCTCTACAGACTTGCCTGTGAAGCAGCTCATCAACTTCAATGCTGACGTAACGCGGAGACACATATTGCGACAATCCAGATTTGATAGCTTCCTTAATCCACTCATTCAAAAATGGTATTGCTCCCAAGTCAATGCCTTGAAGGAGGCTTCTGGAAGGTAGTTGCGTGGCGCCATGATGGAGGGGCTCCAAAGTGAGATGAAAAGCAGCAGCCACTTGTCAGCATTGTCTGAAACTAACATACGTACCTGTCCTTGCTCACAGGGGTTACTCGAAGATCGCAGAGCGGCTGTTCAGCAAATGAAAGCTCGACGGTTGAGACAAAGGGATGCTGGGGCGCTAGGAATAACACAGCCTTGATCGACGCCCGAAAGTTGACGTTGTGGATCTTGATCTGGGTTGAAGGCAACAGGGCATAGCTCAACGACGAAAGTTTCACGTCGAGCACCATCATCAAATCTTCCAAAAAGGCGTCAACCTCCAAGTCAACTTCGATTCGGTTCTCGTGCCAAGTTCCTTCACTGATTCTCACACTCCGGACCATTGGCGGGAGACTTCCAAGAGACAGAGAAAAGAGTGAAACGTAAGCCACATCTGTGGGTCTCAGAGTCTTTGCAAGGTCGAGTCCCCGGACGATGCCAGTCCCAATGGCAGACGACAAGAAAGGCTCTAGTCCTCCTTGTTTCAAATTTGTCATTGCTTTTGACGCCCTCTTTACAAAGACTGGGTACTGATGGGACAAGTCAGTTTCAGAGTCCACGCGCCAAACTTTCTTTAGCACTTTGTTCAACCACAGTGTAGTCTCCGTGGGAAGTGATGTCCCCGATATGGTGGCGAGGCCATTGCGAAAGCCTACCGCCTCTGCATGCCTATTGACGATTCAACATGTTAGAATGCCCATGGTGCATCATCAAGCGACAGAGATCCACCCTCACCTTTGTACCAACAACGCCTTATCCTGGCATCGACGACTGAGGTAAGTCCAGACCAGACCATAGACTAGGAGGAGAAGCAGCTCCCGGCTGCATCCAACACGAAACAAAAGCCTGCCAGTGTGGCAGAGGAGTGCGAATAGCAGATTGACGAGGCACCGTGATGTGCTACAGATGATCTGGAACATTGACAGGGATTGAACTGCTTGGCAGTTTGTGAGTACTTTCGAATGTACCCACTCCAGCTTCGAGCTCCAACACGCATCCGTCACGGGAGTATCTTTGCCTGGGTTTCCAAGTGGCGCCTTTGACTCGCCAACCCCTTCTCCCTTGGATGGCCGCCGATAGAGCACGACAACAGCCAGCAGGTGACACAAGAGAAGGGCTGCTGCAAGCTCAGTCGTCATACTTGGGACTCCTTCTACATCTGCTGAAACGTTCCTTCCAAAGGTCGCAATATCCTCCCTAAGTAGCTCGATGAGCTCCCAACTGTGGTGTATTGTTGGTTCCTTCATCCATTGGGCCTGAAGCTGTACCAGGAGCCTTGCTCGTTTCTCATCTTCGGATAAGAAAGTCCCTTCGTTATCAGGATACGTGCCAAACGAGAGAAACACAGGTGTTCGTTTGTTATGTTGTTGCTGATTGGACAAAGGCGATTCTTCGTTCTTGTCGTTTTTCTTCTTGTTTCGATGTTCACCTCGCAAAGAAATGGCAATCGAGATAGTCCCCGCTAGATCCTCAATAATACGCACGGTTTCTTCGGCAACCCCAGCTGTGGACGATGCCAGAGACTCTGCAGCAACCCCGGCAATCAGCATCGTCTCGCCGAGCCCATCAAAGACATTACCCAGCAATCGCACAGTCTTGGCCGCGACTGCTTGTGTCCGTTTGATATACGGTCGCTTATGGTTGGGCTCTTTCTTTTTCTTTTGTTCTGGTTGGTTGAGGATGGATTGTTGCTTTGACGTGTTCTGTTGCTGCTGCTCTGTGATCCTGTCGGTAGCTCGACAAGTGTCAACATCCAAGTCGAGTTTAGAAGTGCTGCCCCCCTTGTCTGAATTCTTGTCCAACAATTTACTGGCAGAATTCAGTCCAACACCCACCGTTTTGACAACCGTTCCAATGCCTTTTACCGATGTCCCCATTAACCCGGCTGCTGTATCCCCCGTAACTCGTACTCCCGTGGCCACGAATCCGGCCGTGGATGAGATTAGCTGAAAGGACCCCGACAAGAGACGAGTTCCAGTCAAAGTTTGTTGTTGTTTGTTGCTGCCATTACGAGTTCGAAATGCTTCAAAGGCTCTTGCTACTCGCCGTTTGGACGGTGCCTGCTTCTCCTCCTGCTGCAGCTGTTGTTCCTGTGTTTCTTCTTGCTTCTCAGTATTAATTTGTTGTTTCAGATTGGTGATTGTAGTTTTCCTTTCCTTAACCGCTTTCTGTGTGGTTTTGCTACCACCAACGACTTCCTTTTTCTTGCTCTTTCTTTTCCTTCTAATAGTAACTTTCTTGCGCAATCGCAACTCTTTGATAGCCCTTTTCATTTGCTTCAAAGGCCCAACCATCATCCCGATTCTCGTTCTTGTTCCATTCTTTCCTTTGGATTTTTTTGCGCTTTGACTTTGACGAATGAGACGCTTTAGAATCCCTTTTTTCGCAGATAAAGGACTCGTTGTTTTTGGAGTAATATCACGAGGAGGACCCAACACAACCCCTTCTTCTTTCACTGTGGTGGGATGAACAGCATCATCTGCATCACAAGAATTCGTGAGACATGGCCTATTGATGGTATCTGTAGCCTCAGCTACCACGTCGACTAGAGCCTCTGCAACATGATGAGAGACTTGAGTAACGGGGATGTCGTCTTGGGCATGGCCTGATCGTACTAGTAGTACATGTAGTAGCAGTCCAACAACAAAGAGTCCAAAACGACGAAACTGGTCGAATTTCATTTCATTGCCTGCCTTTTACGCTTCATTAATCTATTTGAGCCATCAGCTAGGATCGACGAACCAACCCAAAAACAAACAGTACTCCTGCCAAAGATACCTTTTGCTTTGTTCTTGCTTCCAACTTCCAAGATACAAGCAACCGAGGAGTGTCAACTCTTCCGAGTAACACGTGTGAGAAGTTGCGGTCCTAAAATTTGGCGCCATGTTCGTGCTGCTCGATCTTGTCGTCGCAGTCGACGGTGGAGATCAGTTCAACCTAATAGTAGTCCTTTTTGGCGGTAAACAGCTCTACCTGTTTAAAATAGAAAGTATCCACGATTCGATTCCACACTTTCTAAAAGTGACCACGAGGACAGACACTCCTTGATGGCTTTCTCTGAAAAGTAGACTACCGTACCGTACTAGCTAGTAGAGACTTTGTTGAACACCAAGGAAGGATGCAAGTGTGTCAGAATTGGGAGTGCCTAGCTACTAGTAGTAGCCAGGGCCTAGCAAGAAGAAGGTTCATGGAGGCAAAGAATTGGCCCAAGTTCATAGTTGCTTTCAAGGTTGGGGAGAAGATCTTTGCCTCATTGGAGATAAGCAGCTCAACCAGCTTCTATATCCCTCTTCCCTCGCTCAACTCTCATTTCGAAGAGCCTCGACGACCATGGGCTTGGGTCGGTTGTGTTGGATTGCGACATTGCTCAGTGCGGGTGTTGTTTCGGACAGCTTCATCATGGCATCGATGGCAGGTAACAGTGATGCTGCAAAGGCAGCCGCTTCGGATGACACCAACAAGGGCGACGAAGTACCCCAGTTGCCAGATGCAGATCCAAATGCCAATATCCCACGGATCAAGTTGGGAGAGACAATATCATTTGAAGAAATGGGCCCCGTTATCCTCAACTCGGATGGTCAGTCAACTAGCTATCAGAGGGGAGTGTGATGGTTTCAGTGTTTTTGGCGCGGCAGGTCACACTCATCTTTTCCCGCTTGTGTACATTAACCATGCTTCTTTCGATGTTATCATAGGTTCTACAAGGAGAATTGACAACTGGGATCAATTGACAGAACGAGAAAAAGAAGTGACTTGGAGACGAATTAGCAAACGAAACGAGGAACGGAGAAAAATCTTATTGGCAAAGCAACAAGAAGCAGAGGAGGCAGCTGCAGCTGCCTCAAAAGAAAGCGGAGAGAAAAAGGACGAGCTGTAGTCATTACCGGAAGCCTCTTCCACATAAAAGCTTGGGTAACCATCATGCTAGCTAGGTTTGTGTCGTGCCATCCATTCAAGGACGACTTCAACAATCTACCGGTACTTCTCAAAAATGCTAGTTGATTTGGTCTTTCATTTGGTTTGGGAGAAAATGCTTGGAAAAAGTTGGCGAACGTGAATGGAATAGAGATATTGCAGAATCAATGTCACCGCAAATGAATAACTTGATGCAACACCCTCTGCAAAATTACTAGTACATGTATTGACATCATGTACCGCTTGCTACCTCGAATGGATTATCTACAGTAGTTACATGTACTGGTAGTTCCAACGTGAACAGTTTCGTCTACCGGCTGTTACGCACTAAAACTTGCTAGCGACACCTATACTATCCAGTGGCAGGTTACCTGTAGGCTCACAACAATACCACTGCAAGCGAACAAATCATTTGGGTCCACACAGCTGTCCCATAATCTTGGAGACGGACAAGATCTTCACACGGGAAACCCTTTTGCTTTTCCGAACACCTTCTCACAGCGCTGCAGGTTTATGGTCTCATTCATTCGAATTCCGCCTCCAAGCTAGCTAGCTAGCTAACCGAAGCTACACAACGGCGAAAAGCCGACAACAACCCTCCCAACCTGGCAAGCCTTAATTGTACGACCGGTATCCCTGCCAACAACATCGTCCTCACAGCACATGCACTCCTCTCCAGATCCATCCTGGATATCAGCAACATTACCCTATGAGCACTAGCGACGGCAAGGTCATTGGAGGAGGATTAAGCCCATATTTGCTACCATTCGTATTTTTGATGGTTCTGCAAGGAAGCGAAGACCGAAAACCGATCTGGAATCTACTGGGTTGCCTCGTGCTGATTGTTCTGGCGAGTCCATCGGCTATGGCCTTGAATCACCGGCCCAAGCAAGTTCTGCAAAGGCTCTTTTCAGGTCTGCCAACATTTTCTACCTCCAATGATTCCGTTATCACTCGCTTGGAAACCAACAACGACATGGAAGAGGTTTTGGATGGAGTCGGTGGCGGGGCAATCAATGAAAAGAAACGAGAATTCAATCGTTTGACAGAAGACAATAATAATGAGACGCATAATGAGACGCAACAACTCGAATCATCGGGATCCCAGTACGACCCCTCCAACCGTCAGGCTCACCTGTTTCATGCCCTGGAGGGCTTGACCCGATACCCCAACTACTTGCAAAGGTGGCAAGAGGAAGATATCGATCGTCTCGAGACCACTTTGGAAGAACGATTGACCATGGTTCGACAGCAAAAACAGACACTACAGCGCAAGCGAACGGCCATACAAAGTCTAGTGCAAATCGTGCTGGCAGAGAGCCCGAACAAGGAACGATGGCAAAAACTCTTGCAGCCCTGTCAAACTTGGCAAGAGGTTCGTGAACGGATATTGGACCCCAAAGCCGCCGAAGCCATCTTTCAATCCAAAATGTTTTCCTCCAAATACAACAAAACAATTCCTACGGTGGAGGCAGTCGTCAAGGGAGACACCAGAGTGAATCTGGATGCCGAATGTTTAGAGGGCTTGTTGGACGAGGAAATGTACGACGTCTTTTCCTTTCGGTTGCTGAGTTTGGAGTTTTGCAAAGACTTGCGAGATTTCATCAAGGAACTAGCAAGCGCCAGTGAGACAAAGGAAGATCTTCGAGAGTTTGGAAGACGACCCTTCAATCTAGATCTCGTGGGGCTTGGTTGGGTCAACGATTTGCTGTTTCATTTGGTCATGAAACCAGTGGCAAGACAACTCTTTCTGCAATCGGAAGGCTTGATGAGCGACCTGGATTGGCGCCATGGGTACATTGCTGGATACTCGGCAACCCCGGATGGTACCGGAAAACCCCGAGACCGCCTGGTGGTTCACACGGACGATAGCGAATGCACCCTGAACATTAATATCGGCGACGTGTTTGAAGGCGGCTTGTTGGAGTTTCGCGGGTTACGAGGGACGGAAGAAGAAGGACAATTGATGGGAACATTTGAACCCCAAATGGGGCTGGCCGTCATTCACGTTGGAAGGCACTTTCACGATGTGACCAAGGTCACGAAAGGCGATCGGTTTGCGTTTATAATCTGGGCACGATCTTGGGGAGGCATTCGATCCGAGAAGTGTCCCTGTTGCTGGTTGAATCGGCGGGAAGGATCTACCTGCATTTGTGGCGCTAGATGGAACTAGACAAATAAACGTCCGAAATCTATGACTGAATTTAGTGAAGACACCGGAGTGTTCGACTGAGGCATTGCCGCTGTTACTAACGCAACCCCGAGATTGACTCGATTCGATTCGACTAATCAAATTAAATTGGGTTTCCAAACACACATGCATGATAGATAGATACTGAGTAGATATGATTGTCAATGAATGAAAAAAACAATGGTTTATGCTCATGGTTCTTATAAAATAAAAAAATCGAAAAAGACAACATGTACGATGCTTGGAGTATGGAACTTTTTTGTTTGTTTGTTGTTGTCGTTTGTTTGTTTGTTGTTTATTTGGAATGGAAGCATCATCTATTACAGCAAGGTCAGAAAAAAGAAGCGGACGGGTGGATCAACATAGTCTTGGTTTTGCTTTTTGTTTTACGACACTTGACGTTGTGTGGATTGTTATTATGGAATTCCCAAAAAAGGGAGTGGATGTTGTTGTTGTTGTACCAGTAGTATCCGTTGGACAGACGCAAGGAGTGAAGTGATCCAGGGTGATTTGCCATTTTTCGCCTTGCGCACTAGCTAGTAGGATCGTTTCTAGCTCGCTAGTCTTGATGGAGGTGTTGTTCTTGTGGTACTGGTAGTTCTTGTTCGTCTTGTGGCAGTTCCTCTTCGGGCTCTTCTTGTTGTGGAGCATGAATGAGTGGGTCATAGGACCCACAAATGTAATGAAGCAAGACGGGTGGTTCCATGATTCGTTTGGTTCGGAATCCTCGTACTTGTGCAATTTTGGGATATATATACTCCAAAAAGTAGTATAGATGACCGACGGCAATGCCAATAAGATCCATAGTGATGGCATTGCCAATCAGTACGCTAAAGGTTAGCATGACCCACGGCAAGTAGGGTGCATTGAAGCTGAATACTCCCAGGAATGACATTTTGACTTCTTCATTTCTTCGTCCCCAGACATATACCATCATGAATGTCAAGGCACTGCCCAAAAAGTGGACATTGATGTAACTCGCCACCAGCGTCATGTTGCAAATGCCAAAGAGGAGAAAGTAAATGTAATTGGCGGTCCGTCCGCGAAAATCCCCTTCTTCCAACAGGCGGCTATATCGGACCTACCGTACAGTTGTGCCGCAGTGGAAGAGAGATGGTAAGAACAAGGTACAAATGATGGCAACACAAAAAGACGCAATCTATCAAAAAGACGTACCAAAAAGTACATGTGGAACAAAAAGTCGACCGAGAAGAGTCCAAAGTACAGATAGGAAGACACCAATCGCCACACTTGCCCTTGCAGCACCAGCGTCCAGTTAAAGTAGAGACTGAACGGAGTGATAATGTCCACGGCGCAAGCGGCCGTCGTCAGAAAAGCCCCCGTCAAATACAACCGCGATACCGGAGGAATGTCCATGTACCTATTTAGAAATGCAACAAGAGAAACAAGACAAGCCGTTGAGACAAACATGGTGTGACTTGGGGGGGGAGAAGCGACATCAACGCAACGCCATGGCGACAACTAACAGTCCGTCGACGACAAGCACCCAGCATGAAATGACATCACCGGTCATGCATACAGTATAGCTGGCTCGAGGAGGAAGAACAAAACATCACGACGTACCATTGCATTAGCCCAGGGCCGACACCGGCGTCATGCCCCATGGCTCCCATTCCGCCACCAAAGTCCATCGTGTGTGTTTGTCTATCGTGTCTACGCAAGGAAGGTGTAGCAGCTTGGTTTATCAGATCAGAATTCCGAAGAGAACAATGGTGTCGGTGCACAGGCGAAACGGATGATAGAAATTGGATTTAGAGTGGGTTTAGACACTGTTGTGTTGATTGTTGTTGTGCCTCTGCAGGTTTCGATTAACAAGCAAATTGCCGCGTGTCAATGGTTGCCTCTGGCTGGATAGGTGCTGTGGCAGCTACAAATGATGATGATGGTAATAACAGGCGTGCAGTACAGTATTCTTTTAGACTTTTAGACCAGTTGCCAAGCATGAATTTAGAGTGTCCATTGGGTGCGTCTTCTCGCTCTCGGCCGTGATGGAAGCAGCGCAGGAACGCGGAACGAAAAGCGTGTAGATTACTACCTTAGTTATTAGATAACAATGGAACAGTCAACCTGCAAGCCCCCTGCAGTTCTGAGTTGTTCAAATCCCTTTGTCGTCCTTCGTAGTTTCTAGCTAGCTCGTATCAACCTTCTACCGGTATATCAACGAAATGACATTCACCCACAAAGACCAAGGAAGAGGGAAAGGTGCAATCAGATCTTTTCCCCTCCAGTGCTTGGTGCAGTTTGAACAAGCAACTGAAAAGTGGCTGGCATCGACGACCTCCGTGGTTGTTAAGTTTGACCTAATAACTCCAGCTAGCTAGTCTCTAGTACGAATACCTGTAGTGATGTTGACAGTGACAAAAAGCAAGACTCACATCGGTTACTTTGAGAGACTGGAAGGAACGCACTTGTCCCTCCCTGCAACCCAAGATCTTGCATGAATAATGAAATCAATAGATCTAGTTTCGTCGACTAGTCTACTGGAATTTCAAAGAAGTTCAGCATGGAAGCTAAGAGACTGACTGCATCATCGCTGATGGAAGGAGGAGACCGTCGACTACATTACTCAATCCATCCGAACAATCTTAACATTGAGGGATAAAGATGGTCGCGGCAACTACCGTACTGACTAACCAAACGCACCGCTCAAATATCTCGGATTTCTGCTGTTCCGAAATCGGAGAGATGATCGCACAGTATCATAGCGGTAGAAGGCAAGGTTTCAGTTTAGCTCGAGTGTACAAGTACCATAGCTTTTGGATGGCTCTAGCTAGCTGATGAGAGGCTGCCCCCCAGCGGTTGCTTCCGTGGTCAGTTATGTTTGACGTGCAACTCGGTTCCGGGACTCGAGCATCAAGCCCGTTCTGCTACCCACCTCGCTCAGTGCAGGTTTAGCCAGCTAGCTAGCTAGCTATGCAGTTACTGTCTCGCCGTCATTCTTGGCAGCTCCTTCAGAGGCATCTTTTTGTCTCTCCTTTGCCTCGTCTCGCTGCTTTTGAGACAACAGTTTTTCGGTGAAACGCAACACCTTGTCACGTCGCATGGTTGCCCCACAGAACTCTAGACACAACGTGGACAGAAAGGCACAATAACCCAAGCATTGGAAGAACGTAAAGTTGGCTTCTCCTTGACCAGTCTCCAGCCACATCCAAAGCGTGATAATGTAGAGTGTGATGGGGACCGGGATGGAAAATGCTGGCACCAGTGTCGTCCCCGTCCTCATTCTTGCCAACGATCGAGGACACAGCAATGCCAGACAGCACGCGACGTTGACATCTACCAAGGTTGTGGTCGGCCGTATCATGGTCCAAAGCATCCACGTTATCGTCACCAACTCCATCGGGTACCGATACAGTCGAATCGTAATGGGAGCCAAGAGGAGGTACGGCAACCCTCCAATGAGAATGGAAAAGTAGACACGGTACCGTTCAAAGAGTTCCATGTTCAAGTACCACAAGACGGAAAAGTTTGGGTGTAGGTGTTTCCACAAAAAGACGTGCCCGAAGCTGGACTGCAACATGGCTGTGTATTGAGTACTTCCCACCAACAGAAGTGATAATCCTTGCAAGCAAATCGACCAAAGCAAATAAAACAAGATCAATGCTGAAATTTAATGAATGTGGCCAAGCAGGGATGACAAAAAGTTGGAAACGAAGAGAGTGAGAAAACTTCCCGAGATCCACGAAATGCTTCCGCTTCCACAGCGCTTACATTTGACTTTGCTGGCGCCATTGGCAGCTCGTCTCCTCCAAAGAAATATGGCCAATGGGATCAAAAAGGCCCAGTAATGACATTCCATATATGTTGCTAGTGCTAGCCAAAAGGCGGATAGTGGCACTGAGGAGACACTTCCACAGCCTTCATGTAGACTTTGCAAGAGGAGTAGCAGCCACAGATTTTGGAATGAATGGTGCGTGCTTCCAATCCCTGATGCCAGTGCGGTGATGGGACTGTAGAAATAGACCTGGGCCGCTAGCAAGGGCAAGTCGGAAGGGATGAAATCAGGAGTTTTGTCCTGCTCTTCGGGATCCTCGCTCGATACACCCGTTTGTTGATTGTTGGTTTCAGTTTTCTTTTCTGCAGCATCGTCCGATTGTTTTTTCACTTCTGATGAATCATTGCCCTCTTCGGACGGAGGAGGGGGCTGCTGGGGTGGCAATTCGTCGGTATACACAAGTTGTGTATCGTCCAAGGCAAAAACATGCGCCAACGGCGGTCTTAATGACTCTGGTACTCTGGGTTGAAGGGCATCTTCCCAAGGATCGCGGAGTTCCTGCAACACCAATTTCCCCAGTTGCAACAGTTTGATGGCAATCAGCAAATCCACCAAATGGGTGGCAATCCCAATGGCATACTCTGGCAGATCCGACAGAGGCTCGAATGCTGCCAAGACTAATGGGGGCAAATGAACGTAGGATCCCCGGTAGACATTGCGAAACTCTGCCCCAAACAATTGTCGTATCGCTCTGGCTTCTCGAACATGATCCCAGGTTTCAAATGGTCGTATCAGAGTTGACGTCCAAATGGGTGCCAAATCCACACTGTGGAGAATCCAGCCTAATGTTGATGATGCTGAAGATTTTGCAGTCAAAGGCAACCATTCTCGTGGAATCAGACACACTGTTCGAAGTAGCAGAACTGCAATTGTGGCGGGAGATGAGCAGAATAACGACACTGGATCCGGGGGATATTTGCCGTTGGGTATCTTCGGAGGCGTTTTATTGTCGCCATTCGATTCCTTGGAAAGATCACCCTTCATTCTTCTCACAATCAAACAGCAACGGCGACTAGCTAGAAATGGGACGATCTGAATACTTTCGCTCTTATCTTGTCAAGGGTGTCGTCGCTGCCTTTGGTCTCAATACTGGGGTACACAGTGTAGCCATCGCTGTTGCTCAATTATTGCTCATTGCCTGGGAATTTGGGGAAATCGAGCCAAACCTTGAAACCTCAGTAGGGTCAGGGGTTTGGCAATTAATCCGCCCTCCGTGAAAGGCGAAAAGCGACGAAACTCGCTTCTTGGCCGAACGAACATCATAATATTTTGCACGAAGCAAACTGCCGAATCATTGTTGTTCGTGGTTTGCCATTGCCTTGGTTTGCTGCAATCTTTCCCACCAAAGCACAAGCAAGATGAACTTGGATGAGCGATTGCTTGCTTTGGGTGTTCCACCTGATATCCAAGTGGAAGGTGGGGATGAGATTTTGCTCAGTGAAGACTCTCCTGGTTGTTGCAAAATTCGCGTGGGCTCTAGCCGTTTCGCGGCACTCAATCCAAACTTGTCCTTTGCTGACTTGGCAATTGTGCTACCATCTATTGGACACCGCTTTACATCGCTCATGTTGAAATTTTTTAGTGACCTACCGGTAGGACTCAGTGAAGCCCAGGCCCTTCAATTGGGCACCACGATCCAAAACAACTTGCCCAACATCACCAGTGTGACCATTAATGGATTTGTTGATGATAGAGCTCATAGAATTCTAGTCCAGCATCTTCCTCAACATCTTGAGAGTCTCTCCATGGATAGTTGCCGTTTTCATGACCTCCCCAGTGCACTAGCTCAGATCCCTGATAGCTTGAAAGGATTGAAATCACTGACCCTTTCAGAGATCTTTGAAGACAATCATGGGACCCAATTTTTTCAATCAGTTGCCAATGCCATCCAGGCACTGCCTAATTTGGAACACATTCGCATGGACTTTATTCAATCCAACAGCTCAGAACATTGGGATTTTGTATTCAACGCAATTCTAAAACATGACAACATCAAGCGGGCGGAGTTTGAGCATCTGTGGGATTCTCCTGGGTTCACCTTTGACGATGCTACAGAAAACAACATTGTTTGCCATGTTGGCATCAACCGAGTCAAAGCAATGCTTGGGGGACCATCCAAGACCACCAATACCAGTGATGATCACTTTCAAAGATGGGTGGTTGCAGTGGCAGCCTTTCGCAACCAGCCAGCATGCTTGCAGTATCTGTTCAGTCCTGTGGCAATGGATCCTGCCAAGTTTGCACAAGCTGCTCTTGATGCCATTAACCAAGTGGATACTCAGAGTAACATGGAGCATCAGCAAAAAAAGAGAAAGACAGCACCGAGTGGAGGACACAAGCCTCACAGCTTGGAAACGGGACACTCTGAAGAGCGCCTGCGACGCCTTGAGCGAGCTCGGGTCTTCACGCATCACAGTATTCCTTAGAGGAGGCGACATACAGTGCGGTAGCTTCCATGGATGTTCCACTGATGTTGCTTGCTCTACAGAAAATATATCTACAACTAAATTTTATAGCTCTTCGTGTCATAAGTATTGATAGCACTCTTTACTCTACGAAGCCCCTCCATCAGTTCTTTCAACCTGCAGTTCAATCTAAATCCTGGCTAGCTAGCAGTACGCAAGTTCACAGTCCTACGTATCCGCAGCAACCACAACCAACAAACTATTGGCACTATTGGCAGACGGATTACACCGGAACGACACACAGCATCACTGTCGCTATACCGTCCTTGAAGAACTAGGGCATTGCCGAATATACTTACAAGATCTTCTACTAGATCTCCTTGGTCTCTAAAAGTTGTCAAAGAGTGCATGGGGGTTGTTGATTGGGATTCGCATGTCTGGACTCTTTAGGTATGCCTCCAGTTGTGGTGTTGCCTTTTGCACAAGGTCGAGATACGCAGGAACCCAAAAAGGCAAGGCTGGCACTTGGCAATCGGATATCATCAGGGAAGCCTGAGCAACCTGGAATTTGTAGAGGAATGTGTAGAGCTTGAAATCCACTACTGTGATTGTTGATCCCGTCACGAAGGCTCCGCTAGCCCGAATCAGTTCGTCCCAAACTTGGAGCTTGTCTCTCAAGTCACTGCTACAGAGCCATTTGGCCACGGCTGGACCGCCTTCTTCGTATGAAAGTCGAACAATTGTGGAATCCAGGTCTCGTGCTTCTTCCATGAGCATATCTGCCCGGTGCACTTGGACAGTACCATTTCCCATGAGATTGAACTTGTTGCCGAGATAACGCAAAATAGCATCAGTTTGCACCAACTGCACGTCTGTATCCAGATAGTACGGAAGGTTCGGAAACTCCAAAATCTTCTTCTCCTGCAGGACTTTCTTTGCTTGGAACCATTCCTTCTTGTTTGCTTGACTGTCTTTGCTCTGCCCACAGACCATTCGGACATCGTTCCACTCCACGTTCGCCGTGGCCAATGCCATTCGCAGAGGGTGCACAATCCCGACTATATCCCAGTACACAAGCGTAGGCTTTCCATTGATGGGTTGAAGTGGCACCTCTGATGCCTTGTGAATTGTTATCACAGTCGCTTTGCATGTATTGCTGTCCGTCATCTTCCATGTCCCTTTGACGCTTGACGCTTCAAGTTCGACTGGGCCATTCGACAAGAAAGATCCAAAAGATCCAAGCTGTCAGAGCTGTCAAACAACCATCCGGGGGTTCTTTTCTCCTCCCGCCAACTTTTGAAACAAAGCACGAGGCGACGTCAGGCGACTTCGATACAGGTACTAGTACAGTACTAGCTAGCTAATATACTATTACTGCAGCACAGCAGTGCCCCATCGTCCCATCCTCTACATGTACGAAGTAGTTGGAAGTTGGAAGCAAAGAAGGAAAGATGAACATGGATGATCGATTGCTCGCTTTGGGTGTTCCACCTGATATTCTGGATCAAATAGATGGTGGAGACGAGATTGAGGTCAAGGAGGACCCTCCTGGTTGTTGCTTCATTGGCTTTCTGGGTGACCGCTCCAATGATCCCTTCTTATCTTTCCCCGACTTGCAGGTAGTGCTACCATCCATTGGACACCGCTTTTCTTCTCTCCTCGTGGATAGCTTTGAATATACAGAGCTCAATGAAGCCATAGCCCTTCAATTGGGCACCATCATCCATAACAACTTGCCCAACATCACCAGCGTGCGCATTAATGGATTTGTCCACGATGAACCTCGAAAAATTCTAGTCCAGCATCTTCCTCAACAACTCAAGAGTCTCACCTTGGCACATAGCCATTTTCAAGACGTTCCCAGTGCACTGACTCATATCCCTGATAGCTTGAAAGGATTGAAGTCACTGACCATTGAAGATTTGCAGGATGATCGTGAATCTGATACTACTCCAATTTTCCAATCACTTGCCAAGGCCATCCAGGAACTTCCAAATTTGGAATACCTTGGCATCATGCAAATTCAATCCACCAACTCAGAACGGTGGAATTTGGTTTGTAACGCGATTCTGGAACATGCCAACATCAGGCTGGCAGAGTTTGTCTATCTCGTCTCGTTTCCTTCTGATGGTAGTGAGAGTACCGATTTCCAACTTGAGGAAGCTACCGAAAATAGGATTATTCGCCATCTTGGTATCAACCGAGTTAAAGCAATGCTCGGGAGACCTTCAAAAACCACCAATATCAGTGATGATCATTTTCGAAAATGGGTGGTTGCAATGGCTGCTTTTCGCCACCAGCCGGCATGCTTGCAGTACTTGTTAAGTCCTGAGGCAATGGATCCTGCCAAGTTTGCACAAGCTGCTCTTGATGCTATCAATCAACAGAATCCTGAGACTAAGATTGATGGTTTCAAAAGGAAGATAGCTCATAGTCAGGCAAGAGTGGCTACCTTGGAGGATGCCCTGAGGGCAAATGGATTACAGGTGCCTCCTTTGGAAGATGGCCAAGAATTCCTTTTGCAGTTGCCAGAGCAGAAGCGACAACGCCTTGAACGAGAAAGGGTCTTCTTCAAAGACTATGACTGAATAAAGTTGCCCCAAAACTGTGTTTGCCCTGTGGAACCGAACAGAACCCAGTATTCAGGATGTTTTGTATCTCACAGCATTATTACGCATCGCATCACTGTTCTATATTACTATGAGTCCTTCTTAGCCAACCAACCGTATCCCATAAAAGGACTACACAACCTGCTGGTAAATTCTCATAAGCCCGACGGCACATGGCCAGATAATAGCACAGCCTCACATAAGTTATAGCGACAGGCAAGAGCAAACTTTAGGCAGCCATATCCTGAGCATGCAGTCGTCCGGCCCACGAAATCTTGCTTGCACAGAGACCCTCCAGTAGTACCGGTACTGTATCTCGCAGCCTCTGCAAGATCATGGGCTTCCGCTCTTGGACCACCAGCTATAACCATACCTACCGGTACCGGTAGACCTGGCAGTGTCAACGGGAAACGGTTACTTATTGTTACGTCTCCTCGAGACGATGCCCCTTTTGGTTTCCCCCTCAGTTGCACTCCGAAACCGATTCGCTCGCGTTTACTGTGTAAAATAGTGTACCCGCACTTCAGTTGCAGAATCAACGGTCATGTGTATCTGTAAGTACGAAACTTGTATTTAACCGTTTTTAAACTTTACAGGTGTGTGCGTCACATACGGTAACGCGACCGTGAACCGCTACCGCGTACGGTACCGTCACCGAACCGTTAACGTACCAGTAACTGGTCATGGAAAGGAACGAGGAATAGTCAACTTCTGTACATTGAAGTTCAAAACCCGATGAACAATGTTGGAACACGTCAGAGTACGAATTTGTATAAGTTATTTTGAATTGGTTAATTGAATGATGCTTCGGACTGTAACATTTAATCGTAATTGTCGGCGGAAATAGTATCGAAGGGAATGTATCGACTGAAAGTTTCCAGCTTATGCACCATTTCGTCTGGCATTTGGTACTTTGTTAAATCGAGCGACAGTTGTTTTCGCAAGAAGAGGCATTTCATTTCTCTTACTCTTGAAAGTACACGTAAACCCAATTATCTGCATAGTGCCAGTTCCACACCAACAGTTGCGATGCTGTGTATCCTGCAACTTGTGTCCTGTGGTCTGAATTGCTAACAATAGGAAACTGGATTCCTTTAATGCGAACCTCAATCTTTTCCTTTTCGATTTTCTCTTGCACTTGAAGGACACTCCTGTGTCTTGACATCGAAACATCTTGGCAACATGTCTTTCATCGTCGTACTGTGGATTGTCATTTGGTCACACGGAAGACCATGAACTGACACGAATAGGAGTTTGATGATGAAAGGCTGTTTTCCGGCGATTTTACATGTACTGCGTAGGACTCCGAACCGTTGCTGTCATTACGGTAACTTCTATTTTTGAGCTCAAGAGGCAGTCTGTAGCATCTTGCAATGTGGAATAAATTCTTTGAATTA